AGGTACGACGCCAGCCACAGCCTGCGGGGTTTGACAACACAGGGGGGGTGATGTCATCAGAGGGGGGGTGACATCATCAGAGGGGGGTGACATCATCAGAGGGGGTGTGACGTCATCACAGGGGGGGTGACATCATCAGAGAGGGTGTGATGTCAGCACAGGGGGGGTGACGTTAATCGAGGGGATGTGATGTCATCAAAGTGGGTGTGACATCATCAGAGGGGTGTGATGTCATCAGAGGGGGTGTGACGTCATCAGAGGGGGTGTGATGTCATCAGAGGGGGTGTGACATCATCAAAGGGGGTGTAATGTCATCAGACAGGGGATGACATCATCAGAGGGGGTGATGTCATCACAGGGGTGTGATGTCATCTGAGAGGGGCTGACGTCATCACAGGGGGGGTGACGTCATCAGAGGGGGTGTGATGTCATCAGAGGGGGTGTGACATCATCAGAGGGGGGTGACATCATCAGAGGGGGTGTGATGTCATCAGAGAGGGACTGACATCATCAGAGAGGGTGTGACGTCATCACAGGGGGGTGACATCATCAGAGGGGGTGTGATGTCATCAGAGAGGGGATGACATCATCAGAGGGGATGATGTCATCAGAGGGGGTGTGATGTCATCAGGGGTGTGACATCAGCAGAGGGGGTGATGTCATCAGAGGAGATGTGACATCATCAAAGAGGGTGTGATGTCATCAAAGGGGGTGTGACATCAGCAGAGGGGTTGTGATGTCATCAAATGGGGTGTGATGTCATTAAAGGGGATGTGACATCATCAGAGGGAGCGCGACGTTAATAGAGGGGGTGTGATGTCATCAAAGTGGGTGTGACGTCATCAAAAGGGGCATGGCATCATCAGAGGGGGTGTGATGTTGTCAAGGGGGTGATGTCATCAGAGGGGGTGTGATGTTGTCAAGGGGGTGATGTCACCAGAGGGGGTGTGATGTCACCAGAGGGGGTGTGGCATCATCAGAGAGGGTGTGACATCAGTAGAGAGAAGTGTGATGTCATCAGAGGGACGTGACATCATCAGAGGGACCATGACATCACCAGACAGGGTGTGACATCAGCAGAGGGGGTGTGATGTCATCAAAGGGATATGACATCATCAGAGGGGTGTGGCGTCGACAGAGGAGATGTGACATCATCAGAGGGAGTATGATGTCATCAGAGGGGCGTGACATCATCAGTGAGGTGTGACACCATCAGAGAGGGGGTGATGTCAGCAGAGAGCATGTGATGTCAGCAGGGGGATGTGACATCATCAGAGAGCGGTGTGACATCATCAAAGGGGGTGTGGCATCACCAAAGGGGGTGTGACATCATCATAGTAGGTATGACATCATCAAAGGGGTGTGACATCATCATAGTAGGTATGACATCATCAAAGGGGGTGTGACATCATCATAGTAGGTATGACATCATCACAGTAGGTATGACATCATCACAGTAGGTGTGACATCATCACAGTAGGTGTGACATCATCACAGGAGGTGTGACATCATCACAGTAGATGTGACATCATCACAGTAGGTGTGACATCATCACAGGGGTATGACATCATCACAGTAGGTATGACATCATCACAGTAGTTGTGACATCACGGGGGGGGAGGGGACACTCACACGGACAACACGGGCGCCAGCAGGTCCAGGGACCCCACCAGGACCCCCAGCGTGGCCGTGGCCGCCGTGGCCACCAAGGGCCAGAGCCGACCCCGGGCCAGGGCCTGGGGGGGACACGGGGGGGTCACTGGGGGGGCAGGGATGGGGGAGACCCCCAGGGACAGCAGAGACCCCCAGGGACAGCAGGGACCCCCCCAGGGACATTGGGGACACCCCCAGGGACAGCAGAGACCCCCAGGGACAGAAGGGACCCCCACAGGGACAGAAGGGACCCCCAGGGACAGAAGGGACCCCCAGGGGTAGCAGGGACCCCCCAAGGGACAGCAGGGACCCCCCAAGGGACAGCAGGGACCCCATTAAAGACATTGGGGACCCCCCCAGGGACAGCAGAGACCCCCAGGGACAGCAGGGACCCCCAGGGACAGCAGGGACCCCCCCCCAGGGACATTGGGGACACCCCCCCAAGGAGAGCAGGGACCCCCCCAGGGACACCAAGAACCCCTTTAGGGATGTTGGGGACCCCCAGGGACAGCAGGGACCCCCCAGGGACAGCAGGGACCCCCCCCAATACAGCAGGGACCCCCAGGGACAGCAGGGACCCCTTAGGGACATTGGGGACCCCCACAGGGACAGCAGAGACCCCCCCAGGGACAGCAGGGACCCCCAGGGACATTGGGGACCCCCAGGGACAGCAGAGACCCCCAGGGACAGCAGGGACCCCTTGGGGGACATTGGGGACCCCCCCAGGGACAGCAGAGACCCCCAGGGACAACAGAGACCCCCCCAGGGACATTGGGGACCCCCCCAGGGACAGCAGGGACCCCCCCCCAGGGACAGCAGGGACCCCCACAGGGACAGCAGGGACCCCCCCAGGGACATTGGGGACCCCCCCAGGGACAGCAGGGACCCCATTAAAGACATTGGGGACACCCCCAGGGACAGCAGGGACCCCCCCAGGGACAGCAGGGACCCCCAGGGACACCAAGGACCCCCAGGGACAGCAGGGACCCCCACAGGGACAGCAGGGACCCCGTTAGGGACATTGGGGACCCCCCCAGGGACATTGGGGACCCCCCCCAGGGACAGCAGGGACCCCCCAGGGACAGCAGGGACCCCCACAGGGACAGCAGGGACCCCGTTAGGGACATTGGGGACTCCCTTAAGGACACCAGACCCCTCCCCCAGAGACCCCCCCAGGGACATTGGGACCCCTTGGGGACAGCAGGGACCCCCTAAGGGACATTGGGGCCCCCCCAGAGACCCCAGGGACCCCTTAGGGACATTGGGGACCCCCCCAGGGACATTGGGGACCCCCCAGGGACATTGGGGACCCCCCAGGGACACCAAGGACCCCCCCAGGGACACTGGGGGACTGTTGGGAACACCAGGGGCCCCCTTAGGGACATTGGGGACCCCCTTAAGAACACCACACCCCTCCCCCAGAGACCCCCCAGGGTCATTGGGGACCCCCCCAGGGTCACCAGGCCCCCCCTCGAGACCCCCTTAGGGACATTGGGGACCCCCCCAGGGACATTGGGGCCCCCCCCGGGGACACAGGGGACGCGGGGGGCACTCACGTGGGGGAGGGGCAGGGCCTGTGTCCGGGCCAGCCCCCGCAGCAGGCGGGACCCCCCCAGCAGGGCCTGCAGCCCCGCCCCCCCCGCCGACAGCAGCGCCCCCAGCACCGGCACCCAGGGCCAGGGCCAGGCGGCTGCCCCCAGAACGGGGGACCCCCCCAGGGACACCCCGAACCTGTGGGGGACAGAGAGGACAGTGAGACCACCCAGAGACCCCCAGAGACCCCCCCAGGGACACCCCGAACCTGCAAAGGGACACAGGGGACAGTGAGACCACCCAGAGACCCCCCAGACAGCCCCCAAAACGGGGGACCCCCCCAGGGACACCCCGAACCTGTGGGGGCACAGAGAGGACAGTGAGACCACCCAGAGACCCCCAGAGACCCCCCCAGGGACACCCCGAACCTGTGGGGGCACAGAGGGGGCAGTGAGACCACCCAGGGACCCCCCCAGGGACACCTCAGGGCACCCAGACCCCTCAAGGGACACCCCGAACCTGCAAAGGGACACAGGGGACAGTAAGACCACCCAGAGACCCCCCCAGGGACACCCCAGACCCCCCCAGCACTGGGGACCCCCCCAGGGACACCCCGAACCTGCAAAGGGACACAGGGGACAGTGAGGGACAGCAGAGACCCCCAGAGACCCCCAGGGACACCCCAGACCCCCAGCACTGGGGACCCCCAGGACACCCCGAACCTGCAAAGGGACAGAGGGACAGTGAGGGACAGCAGACCCAGAGACCCCCCAGGACACCCCGACCCCCAACACTGGGGACCCCCAGGACACCCCGAACCTGTGGGGGACAGAGGGGACAGTGAGACCACCCAGAGACCCCCCAGACACCCCAGGGACACCCCGAACCTGTAGGGGACAGAGAGGACAGTGAGGGACCCCCAGAGACCTCCCAGACCCCCCCAGAGACCCCCCGAACCTGCAGGGGACAGAGGGGACAGTGAGGGACAGGAGAGACCCTCCCAGGGACACCCCGAACCTGTGGGGGCACAGAGGGGACAGTGAGGGACAGGAGAGACCCCCCAGGAACAACAACCCCCGCCTGCTGATACCAGACCCCCCCTGGGGACATCGAGGACCCCCAGGACCTCCTTGGGACCTCCCAAGCCCCCTGGTGACATTTTGGACCCCTGGTGACATTGGGGACCCCTGGGGACATCGAGGACCCCCTGTGACATTGGGACCCCCGGCCCCCAGACTCACTTGTCCCTCAGCAGCTGCCCCTCCACTCCGGCCCCCAAAAGCAGCGCCGCGCTCAGGTCTGGGGAGGGGGAGTCAAGGAAAGACCCCCAAAAATCCTCCCCAGATCCCCCCAAATCCCACCTCCCAGCACCCCTACCATGCAGGGAGACCCCCAATACCCCCCAGAGCCCCTGAAACATCAGGGCTGCTGCCCTCCTCCCCTCCGGGTTTTGGGGTATCCCCTGATTGCCCCTCCCCCCCCAAAGGTTTTGGGGTCTCTCCCAGGATTTTGGAGGCCCCCAATTTTCCGTGTTCTTTCCAAGATTGTGGTTCTTCCCCTCCAGACTTTGGGGTCTCTCCCCATTTTGGCATCTCCCCCTGGTTTTGGGATCCCCCCAGATCCCTCTCCCCCCTCAGTTTGGGATCCCCCAGGTTTTGGGGTCCCCGTTTGGGGTCAGACACATCCCAGGGCCGTGGCACCCCAGGGTTTTGGGGTTCCCCCCAGATCCCTCTCCCCTCCCAGTTTGGGATCCCCCCAGGCTTTGGGGTTTCCCCCTCAGATTTGGGGTCCCTCCCCCAGGTTTTGGGGTGTCCCCCCCCCGGTTTTGGGGTCTCTCTTTAGGGTCAGACACATCCCAGGGCCATGGTACCCCAGGGTTTTGGGGTCCCCCCAGTTTGGATCCCCCTGGGGTTTCAGGGTCCTCCCAAGGTTCCAGGGTGCCCCCCCTAGGTTTTGGGGTCCCTGCCCCAGGTTTTGGGGTCCCCCTAGTTTTGGGGTCCCTCTTTAGGGTCAGATACATCCCAGGGCCGTGGCCGTGGCCGCCCCGAGGGTCCCGGCGGGGACCGAGCGAGCGACGTCCCTGAGCTCAGCACAGCGACTGCACCCCCAGAGCACCCCTGGGGGGAAAACCCCCCTCAGAGACCCCCCAAAAACAACCCCAAGCCCCTCAGGGAACCCCAAACCCCCTCAGGGAACCCCAAACCCCCTCAGGGAACCCCAACCTCCCCAAGATCCACTGATCCCCCAAACCCCCCCAAATCTCCTCCCAAACATCCCAACACTGCTCCTGATCCTCCCAAACATCCCAAAGCTGCTCCATGTCCCTCCCTTGGGGTACCCCCAAAGCACCCCCGGGGGAAAACCCCCCACTCAGAGACCCCCAAAAACACCCCCAACCCCCTCAGGGAACCCCAACCCCCTCAGGGACCCCCAACCCCCCAAGATCCAATGATCCCCCAAACCCCCCCAAATCCCTTCCAAACCTCCCAAAACTGCTCCCTTGAGAGTCCCTCCTGTGGGAAACTCCCCCTCAGAGACCGCCCCAAAACACCCCCAACCCCCCCAAAACTCCCATGAACATCCAAACCCCCCAAATCCCCTCCCAAACCTCCCAAAACTGCTCCCTTGAGAGTCCCTCCTTGGGGTCACCCCAGAGCACCCCTGGGAGATTCCCCCTCAGAGACCCCCAAAACAACCCCAACCCCCTCAAGGAACCCCAACCCCCTCAGGAACACCCAAACCCCCCAAAATCCCCTGATCCCCCAACCCCCCAAATCCCCTCCCAAACATCCCAACACTGCTCCTGATCCTTCCCTTGGGGTCACCCCAGAGCACCCCAGTTTGGGATCCCCCTCCCCCAGTTCGGGATCCCCCTCTGGGTCCCCCACCCCAGTTCAGGGTCTGTCCCTGGAGCCCCCCATTTGGGGTCCCCTCCCCAATTCCAGGTGTGTTCCTGGATTCCCCCAGTTTGGGACCTCCCCCCCCAAATTCTGGGTCTGTTCCTGGATCCCCCCCATTCGGGTTCCTCTCCCATTTGGGATCTCCCCCATTTCAGGTCCCCTCTGTTTGGGATCCTTCCCATTTGGGGTCCTCCTCCAATTGGGATCCCCCATTTGGGGTCTCCTTTGATTTGAAATCCCCCATTTGGGATTCTCCCCTAATTTGGAGTCCCCCCATTTGGGGTCCCCCCATTTGGGATCCTCCCCATTTCGGGTCCCACTCCCATTTGGGGTCCTCTGATTTGGGATCCCCTCCCCATTTGGGGTGTCCCACCCCCATTTGGGGTCCCCCGATTTGGGGTCCCCTCCCATTTGGGGTCTCCCCCTGTTTGGGGTCCTCCCCATTTCGGGTCCCACTCCCATTTGGGGTCCTCCCCATTTGGGGTCCTCCCCATTTGGGGTCCTCCCATTTGGGGTCCTCCCATTTGGGATTCCCCTCACCCATTTGGGGTCCTTCTCCCAATTTGGGGTCCCCCCAACCATTTGGGGTCCCCCCATTTGGGATTCCCTCCCCATTTGGGCCCCCCCATTTGGGCCCTCCCATTTGGGATTCCCCTCACCCATTTGGGGTCCCCCCATTTGGGATCCTCCCCATCTGGGCCTCCCATTTCGGGTCCCCCCAATTTGGGGTCCCCCTATCCATTTGGGGTCTCTCCCATTTGGGAGTCTCCTCCCATTTGGGGTCCCCCCATTTGGGGTATCCCCATTTGGGGTCCCCCCCCAATTTGGGTTCCCCGTTCTCACCGGAGGCCGAGGGGAGGCTCAGCCCCAGCAGGACCCCGAAGGAGGCGTCGCCCTCCCCCTCCTGCTCCTCCCCCAGACCCCCCTGGGGGGCGGGGCCACAGGTTCCCTGTGGGCGGGGCGATGCTTGGGTGGGGCTCGTGGTGGCCACGCCCACAGCCCCTCCCCCCACGAGACCTCTAAGTGACCCCGAGTGGCTCCACCCTCGGGGGGCGGGGCTAAAGGATCTCTGGAGTGGGGCAGTGGGAGGGGCTCGCTGTGACCACGCCCATCATGCCCTATTGCCCCTCCCCCATGGCCTTGGGGTCCCCCCAACCCACCCCGTGACCTCTGAGTGACCCCAGGTGGCCACGCCCCCTCATGTGCAGTCGGGGGGGGCGTGGCTGCATGGTCCATGTGGGTGGGGCTAACTATGGCCACGCCCACATCCCATCCCCGCCCCTCTCCCAACCTCAGGGTACCCCTCACCCCTCCCGTTGCCCCCAAGTGGCCACACCCACCTCCATGGGGGTTCCCAGTGGGCGGTCCCCAGCGTGGCCACGCCCACAATGCCCCATCGCCCCCTCCCCATGACCTCAGTGTGACCTCGAGTGGCCCTGCCCCCAATCCCCTTGGCCCCGCCCCTCGGCGGAGGGCGCCCCCGCTGGACTCACGTGCCAGGAGCCGCGCGCTGGGGGCGGGCAGGGCGGGCAGCGCCCCCTGCTGGGCGGGAGGACCCCGGGATGCGTTGGGGGGTGGGGAGGGGCGCAGGGTCTGAGGGGTCCCGGGCCGGGGGAGGCACAACCTGGTGGGGGAAAGGGGGGGGACAGAGAGCTCATTAGCATCTCATTTGCATGAGAGGGACACACACCCTCATTCACATCTCATTAGCATAGTGGGCGGGGCCAGGCGCGTCACTCACGTGTGAGCCCCGCCCCCGGGCAGGGCGCGGCGCAGGGACCCGGCCTGCAGGGCCAGCAGGGCCAGCAGGAGCCCCGCGGGGCCCAGGGGGGCGGCGGCCGCGCGGACGGAGGGCGGGGCCAGAGACCCCGCCCCCAGCAGCGCCAGCAGCCCCGCCCCGTAGCCACGCCCATTGTTGAGCCGCCCCCAGCGGCCACGCCCCGGCAGCACCGCCCAATCCGGTGTCAGGTACACCTGGAAGGGGGAGGGGCTTATGAGATGAGAGGCTCCGCCCACCCACCCATCCTCCCTGCAGGAGGCTCCGCCCCTTTGGAGTTGGTCACACCCCCCACCCTGGCGGAGCCACGCCCCACCTTGCCACACCCTTTCCCTGAAGCTCAACACACTCCTATGAGGCTCCGCCCCCGAGGCTCCACCCACTCCTGTCAGGCCACGCCCCTAAATCCCACCCCCATTGCAGACCCCACCCCTTTTGATAAATCCCACCCCCTGCTTGCAAGTCCCACCCCTCAAGACCCCTCCCACCTCTGACCCCTCCCACTCCCCAGGCCCCTCCCCTCCACACCCCCACCCCTTTCCAGACCCCTCCCCTCTCCAGACTCCTCCCACTCCCCAGGCCCCCTCCTCTTCCCCAGGCCCCCGCCCCTCTGGATCCCTCCCTCTCCCCAGACCCCTCCCTGGTCCCTCCCCCCCCGGCCCTCCCTCTCACCAGCAGCACCTCGGCCCCTCTCCCACCCAAAGCCCCTCCCCCAGGCCCCTCCCCTCTCACCAGCAGCACCTCGGCCCCCTCCCCACAGCCCTGCCCCGGCCCCCTCCCAGGCCCCTCCTCTCACCAGCAGCACCTCGGCCCCTGGCCCTCCCCACAGCCCCTCCCCAGGCCCCTCCCTCTCACCAGCAGCACCTCGGCCCCTCCCCCCACAGCCCTCCCAGGCCCTCCCCCCACGGCCCTCCCCAGGCCCCGCCTCTCACCAGCAGCACCTCGGCCCCGCCCAGGGCGGCGGCGGCGGCGGCGAAGGCGGCTCCGAGGAACCCGCAGACCCCGACGGCCCCCCCGGCCTCAGGGCCCAGAGCCCCCGACAGCAGCGCCAGGGCCCCGCCCCCTGACACGCCCACCGTGAGACAGAGACCCCCAACACACCCATACGGGACCACCCACTCCAAAGCGCTAGGGGCCCTGACACGCCAGGAGACAAACCCCAAACACACCCACATACCCAGAGACCCCCAAACCCACCCAGAGACCCCAAATACACACAGGGACCCCAAACACACCCAGAGACCCCAAACACACCCAGAGACCCCAAACACACCCAGAGACCCCCCAAACACACCCTGAGACCCCAAACCCACCCAGAGACCCCCAAACACACCCAGAGACCCCAAAATACACCCAGAGACCCCAAAACCCACTCAGCCCCCGACAGCAGCGCCAGGGCCCCGCCCCCTGACACGCCCACCGTGAGACAGAGACCCCCAACACACCCAGAGACCCCAAACACACCCTGAGACCCCAAATACACACAGAGACCCAAAACACACCCAGAGACCCCAAAATACACCCAGAGACCCCAAATACACGCTCCAGATACCCGACAACCCACCCAGAGACCCCAAACACACCCTGAGACCCCAAACACACCCAGAGACCCCAAATACACCCAGAGACCCCAAACACACCCAGAGACCCCAAACACACCCAGAGACCCCCAAACACACCCAGAGACCCCAAACCCACACAGAGACCCCAAACACACCCAGAGACCCCAAACACACCCAGAGACCCCCCAAACACACCCTGAGACCCCAAACCCACCCAGAGACCCCAAACACACCTAGAGACCCCAAACACCACCCAGAGACCCCCCAAACACACCCTGAGACCCCAAACACACTCTGAGACCCCCAAACACACCCAGAGACCCCAAACCCACCCAGAACCCCCAAATCCACACAGAGACCCCAAACACACCCACACAGAGACCCCAAACACGCCCAGAGACCCCAAACCCACCCAGGCCCAGGGGGGTCCCACAGCGGCTCAGGGGGAGGGTCCCAGGGGGGTTTGCCCCGCCCACATCACCCCGAGGGGCGGGGCCAAGGGGTTCCCACCCCGCCCACAGAGTCAGGGGGTGGGGCCAAGGGGGGTCCCCCCAAGCCCCTCCCCCACTCACCGGGGTCGAGGCCGTTGGTGGCGACGGCGCTGAGGGACACGGCGGTCAGCACCATCTGCGGGGGTGACCTTTGACCCCTGGCTGACCTCTGACCCCCGTGTGACCCCCCCGACCCTCATGTGACCCCCTGACCCCAGTGCACGACCCCTGACCCCAGGGTGTGATCCCAAACGTGACCCCTGACCCCAGGAGTGACCCCTGGGGTGAACTCTGTCCCCTGGGACCTCTGCGACCCCCCTTGTGACCTCTGACCCCTGGGTGACCCCAAATGTAACTGCAAGGGTGATCCCCTGACCCCAGGGCTGACCTCCCCATGACCCCATGGGTGACCCCATGACCCCTGTGTGACCCCATGAGTGACCTCCCCATGACCCCATGGGTGACCTCATGACCCCGTGTGACCCCATGGGTGAAGCCCTGACCCCCGTGTGACCCCATGACCCCTGTGTGACCCCATGGGTGACCTCCCCATGACCCCTGTGTGACCCCATGGGTGACCCCCTGACCCCCATGTGACCCCATGACCCCCGTGTGACTCCACGGCCCCCAGACTCACGCAGGTCCCCAGGAGGCCCCTGATGGGCCCCCCCCCCTTAGGACAGGGGTGACCCCTGAGTGACCTCCCCATGACCCCTGGGTGACCCCTGTGTGACCCCTGTGTGACCCCCGTGCCCCCCAGACTCACGCAGGCCCCCAGCAGTCCCCCGATGGCCCCCGCGCTGAGGACGGGTGTGACCCTGGGTGACCTCCCCCATGACCCCTGGGTGACCCCATGACCCCTGGGTGACCCCATGACCCCTGTGTGCCCCCCAGACTCACGCAGGCCCCCAGCAGTCCCCCGATGGCCCCCGCGCTGAGGACAGGGGTGACCCCTGGGTGACCCCCCCATGACCCTGTGTGACCCCATGACCCCTGGGTGACCCCATAACCCCTGTGTGACCCCCAGACTCACGCAGGCCCCCAGCAGTCCCCCGATGGCCCCCGCGCTCAGGACAGGGGTGACCCCTGTGTGACCCCATGACCCCTGTGTGACCCCATGACCCCTGTGTGACCCCCAGACTCACGCAGGCCCCCAGCAGTCCCCCGATGGCCCCCGCGCTGAGGACAGGGGTGACCCCTGGGTGACCTCCCCCATGACCCCTGTGTGACCCCATGACCCCTGGGTGACCCCATGACCCCTGTGTGCCCCCCAGACTCACGCAGGCCCCCAGCAGTCCCCGATGGCCCCCGCTGAGGACAGGGTGACCCTGGGTGACCCCCCCATGACCCCTGTGTGACCCCATGACCCCTGTGTGACCCCATGACCCCTGTGTGACCCCCAGACTCACGCAGGCCCCCAGCAGTCCCCGATGGCCCCGCGCTGAGGACAGGGGTAACCCTGGGTGACCTCCCCCATGACCCCCATGTGACCCCATGACCCCTGGGTGACCCCATGACCCCTGTATGACCCCCAGACTCACGCAGGCCCCCAGCAGTCCCCCGATGGCCCCCGCGCTGAGGACGCCGCCGGCGCCGACGACCCAGGGCAGGCGGAGCAGCAGCACCAACCCCAGCAGGGACTGCAGGGACGGGGCCAGCACCCCCCGCAGCGTGCCCAGGGGGCGGGGCTGGAACAGGGGGCGGGGTCAGAGTCAGGGCGGGGTCAGAATAACCCACAGTGTGCCCAGGGGCGGGGCTGGAACAGGGGGCGGGGTCAGAGTCAGGGCGGGGTCAGAATAACCCACAGTGTGCCCAGGGGGCGGGGCTAGAACAGGGGCGGGGCCAGAGTCAGGGCGGGGTCAGAATAACCCACAGCGTGCCCAGGGGGCAGGGCTGGAACAGGAGGCGGGGTCAGAATAACCCACAGTGTGCCCAGGGGGCGGGGCTGAAAACGGCAGGGGCAGGGGTCAGAATAACCCACAGCGTGCCCAGGGCGGGGCTAAAACGGAGGGCAGGGTCAGAATAGCACCACAGTGTGCCCAGGGGCGAGGCTAAACAGGGGCGGGGTCAGAATAACCCACAGTGTGCCCAGGGGGCGGGGCTGAAACAGGGGCGGGGTCAGAATAACCCACAGTGTGCCCAGGGGCGGGGCTAAAACAGGGGCAGGGTCAGGGGTCAGAATAACCCACAGTGTGCCCAGGGGCGGGGCTAAAACAGAGGGCGGGGTCAGAATAACCCACAGCGTGCCCAGGGGCGGGGCTGGAATCAGAGGGCGGGGTCAGAATAACCCACAGTGTGCCCAGGGGGCGGGGCTGAAACAGGGCGGGGCCAGAGTCAGGGCGGGGTCAGAATAACCCACAGCGTGCCCAGGGGCGGGGCTGGAACAGGGGGCGGGGCCAGAGTCAGGGCGGGGTCAGAATCACCCACAGCGTGCCCAGGGGCGGGGCCAGAATCAGGGCGGGGTCAGAATAACCCACAGCGTGCCCAGGGGGCGGGGCTGAAACGAGAGGGCGGGGTCAGAATAACCCACAGTGTGCCCAGGGGCGGGGCTAAAACAGAGGGTGGGGTCAGAATAACCCACAGGGTGCCCAGGGGGCGGGGCTAAAACAGAGGGCGAGGTCAGAATAACTCACAGCATGCCCAGGGGGCGGGGCTAAAATGGAGGGCAGGGTCAGAATAACCCACAGTGTGATCAGGGGGCGGGGCTAAAATGGAGGGCAGGGTCAGAATAACCCACAGTGTGATCAGGGGGCGGGGCTAAAATGGAGGGCGGGGTCAGAATAACCCACAGTGTGATCAGGGGGCGGGGCTAAAATGGAGGGCGGGGTCAGAATAACCCACAGTGTGCCCAGGGGGCGGGGCTGGAATAGAGGGCGGGGTCAGAATAACCCACAGTGTGCCCAGGGGCGGGGCTGAAACAGGGGCAGGGCCAGAGGTCAGGGGCCACCATAACCTACAGTGTGCCCAGGGGTGGGGCTGGAACAGGGGCGGGGTCAGGGTGGGGTCAGAATAACCCACAGTGTGCCCAGGGGCGGGGCTAAAATGGAGGGCAGGGTCAGAATAACCCACAGTGTGCCCAGGGGCGGGGCTAAAACAGGGGCGGGGTCAGAGTCAGGCGGGGTCAGAATAACCCACAGCGTGCCCAGGGGCGGGGCTAAAATGGAGGGCGGGGTCAGGGTGAGGTCACAGCAGGGTCACCAAGGGGTCACCAAGGGGTCACTGTTACCCCAGAGTGTCCCCAGGGCCGGGGGCAGGGCAGGGTCATTGTCACCCCACAGTGTCCCCCAAGGGGCGGGGTTTGAAGAGAGGGGCGGGGTCATGCTGGGGACAGGACCCCTCAATCTCCACCCACCCCCACCCCAATCCCACCCCATGTCCCCCCATGTCCCCTGTCCCCCCGTGTCCCCTCACCGTGCCGGTGTCACTCTCGGGGCTCAGGGTGCTGTGACCCCCCATGTCCCCACCCTGTCCCCCAGTGTCCCCCTGTGTCCCCTCACCGTGCCGGGTCACTCTCGGGCTCAGGGTGCTGTGACCCCCCATCCTGTGTCCCCCCATGTCCCCCGTCCGTGTCCCTCACCGTGCCGGGTCGCTCTCGGGGCTCAGGGCGCTGTGACCCCAATCCCATCCTGTGTCCCCTGTCCCCCGTGTCCCCCTGTCCCCCAGTGTCCCCTCACCGTGCCGGGTCGCCTCAGGGCTCAGGGCGCTGTGTCCCCATGTCCCCTGTTTCCCCAGTGTCCCCAGTGTCCCCCGTGTCCCCTCACCGTTCCGGGTCGCCTCGGGGCTCAGGGCGCTGTGTCCCCCTGTCCCCCTGTCCCCCGTGTCCCCTCACCGTGCCGGGGTCGCTCTCGGGGCTCAGGGCGCTGTGACCCCAATCCCATCCTGTGTCCCCTGTCCCCCATGTCCCTCCTGTGTCCCCCAGTGTCCCCAGTGTCCCCTCACCGTGCCGGGTCGCTCTCGGGGCTCAGGGCGCTGTGTCCCCACCATGTCCCCTGTCCCCCATGTCCCCTGTCCCCCTGTCCCCCCCATGTCCCCTCACCGTGCCGGTGTCGCTCTCGGGGCTCAGGGTGCTGTGTCCCCCCCATGTCCCCTGTCCCCCATGTCCCCTGTCCCCCTGTCCCCCTGTCCCCCTCACCGTGCCGGTGTCACTCTCGGGGCTCAGGGCGCTGTACGGGGCGATTCTCCGCAGCAGCGCCGGGACCCTCGGCCGCGTCGCCAGCTCCTCCTGGGGGCGGGGACAGCGCGGGGTTAATGAGGGGGCGGGGCTAATCCAGGGGCGTGGCCATACATGGAAGGATATGTGGCTCTGAGGGGCGGGGCTAAGGAGGGGGCGTGGTTAAACAGGGCGGGGATAAAAGGGGTGTGGCCTTAAATGGAGTGGTGTGGTCAGAAGGGGCGGGGCTAAGGAAGGGTGGGGCTGGGAGGGGCGTGGTTTATGGGGAAGAATGGGTGGGGCTAAAGGGGCGTGGTTGATGAAGGGGCGGAGCTAAGGAAGGGCAGAGGAAGGGGGAGTGGCCTTTGGATGGTGATGTGGGAAAGGGGGCGTGGCTAAGGAGGGCGTGGCAAGGGTGAGGTTGAGGGGGCGTGGCCTGATCTGGCAGGGTATGTGGTTCTGAAGGGGCGGGCTTAAGGAGGGGCGGGGCTAAGGAGGGGTGTGGCTCTTGATAAATAATTATATGGGAAAGGGGTGTGGCTAATGAGGGTGTGGTTAATGGGTGGGGCTAAGAAGGGGCGTGGCTGAGAAGGCCTTTTATCACTAATGAGGGGGTGTGGCTTGCAGAGGGGCGTGGCCTCACCGCAATCAGCGCTGGGACAGTAAGGGGGCGTGGTTTGGGGTGGGCGTGGCCTCACCATTAATTACATCACTTCTATTGGGTGGGGCCAATGAAGGGGTGGGGTTTGGAAGGGGGCGTGGCCTCACCTCAGAACCAGGGAGGGTCTAACGGGGCAATGCTAATTAAGGGGTTAATGAAGGGGGCGTGGCCTCACCTCAAACAGCGCCAGGAGAGTCTAACGGGGCAATGCTAATTAAGGGGTTAATGAAGGGGGCGTGGCCTCATCACAAACAGCATCAGGGAAGGTCTAAGAGGTGGGGTTAATTAAAGGATGGGGTTAATGAAGGGGGTGTGGCCTCACCTCAAACATCGCCAGGGAGGGTCTAAGAGGCAGGGTTTAATAAAGGAGTGGTGTTAATTAAGGGGTGGGGTTAATTAAAGGTTGGGTTTAATTAAGGGGTGGAGTTAATGAAGGGGGCGTGGCCTCACCTCAAACAGCACCAGGCGGGTCTAAGTGGGCAGTGCTAATTAAGGGGTTAATGAAGGGGGCGTGGCCTCACCTCAAAGAGCACCAGGAAGAGTCTAAGGGGTGGGGTTAATGAAGGGATTGGGTTAATTAAGGGGCGGGGTTAATGAAGGGGGCGTGGCCTCACCTCAAACAGCGCCAGGGAGGGTCTAAGTGGGCAATACTAATTAAGGGTTTAATTAAGGGGGCGTGGCCTCACTTCAAAGAGCACCAGGAAGAGTCTATGGGGTGGGGTTAATGAAGGGATTGGGTTAATTAAGGGGTGGAGTTAATGAAGGGGGTGTGGCCTCACCTCGAAGAGCGCCAGGAAGAGTCTAAGGGGTGGGGTTAATTAAGGGATTAGGTTAATTAAGGGGTGGGGTTAATGAAGGGGGCGTGGCCTCACCTCAAAGAGCGCCAGGGGGCGCTCGCTGGACAGCCCGGGCAGGATGGGAGGGGCGGGGCGAGCGCTGGCCCCGCCCCCCGGGCCCCTCCCCCGCGGGGTGGGCGTGGTCTCGGTGGGGGAGGGGCTGGTGTCGGAGAGGGGAGGGCGGGAGGAGGAGGGGGAGGGGGGCTCGGGGCTGCTGTCCGAGGGCTCCGCCCCCCGGCCCGGCCACGCCCCCTCCACCGCCGCCATGACGTCACCGGGGCGACGTCACCGATGACGTCACGGGACCTGCGGGAGGGAAAATCCACATTTCGGAAGCAAAAATCCCCGTTTTGGGAGAAAAAACCCACGTTTTTTGGGAAGGGAACCTCCCATTTCTCATTCCTAGAAGGAAAATTCACAGTTTTACGGGGGGTTAAGTGGTTTTATCGGTGAGAAAGGATAATTTTCACGGGATAATTCACATTTTGAAAGGGAAAAGCAACGTTTTCTGAGGGAAAAGCTGCTGCTTTAGTGGGAAAATTGACGTTTTTGGAGGAAAATCGGCGTTTTCTGAGGAAAATTGACATTTTCGGAGGGCAAATCCCCATTTCTGGAGGGGAAAATCCACATTTTTAGAGAGAAAATCAACAATCAAACTCACATTCTAGAGCAAAATGGGTAATTTTAGAGGGAAAATTCCACATTCTGGAGGGGAAAATCCTCATTCTAGAGAAAAATTTATGTTTTCCAGGGGGAAAGTCATCTTTCTGTGATGAAAAATCCACATTTTGGGAGGGAAAAATCCAGCATTTTGGAGGAAAATCCACCTTTTCAGAGGAAAACCTAAAATTTGTGAGGGAAAATCAGCATTTGGAGAGCAAAAAACCCAATTTTTAGAGGAGAAGTCAAAATTTGTGAGGAAAAGTTCACGTTTTTAGAGGGAAAATCAACCTTTTTGGAAGGAAGCCCCAAATTTTGGAGGAAAACGGACATTTTTAGGGGGGGAAATGCACATTTTAAGAGGAAAATCCACATTCTGGGGGGAGGGGGAGCCACATTTTTAGAGGAAAATTGACTTTTTTGAGGGGAAAATGAACATTTGGGAGCAAAATAGAGATTTTTGTCTGGGTCAAAAGGTGTTGGGGGTGAAAAGCCTGGATTTGGGGGGAGAAAAGAGTCACTTTAGAGAGAAATGAATATTATTAAAGAGAAAATCAGTTTTTTTCTAAGGAAAAGAGACATTTTTGGATGCAAACATCACCTTTTGGGGGTAAATTCCATTTTGGGGGGATCCAACCCCCCTTTTTAGGATCAAATTTCCCCTTTTGGAATCCAACCCCCAACTTTTGAGGGCCAAATACCCCCTTTTTGGGGCCAAATTCCCCTTTTTTGGGTCCAAACTCCCCCTTCTTGGGGCCAAATTCCCCCTTTTAGGGGCCACTTCTGCCTTTTTTGGGACCAAATTCACACTTTAGGATCCAAATTATCCATTTTTATGCCAACCCCACCCTGTTTGGGGCCAAACTCCCTCTTCTTGGGTCCAAATTCCCCCTTTTTGGTGCCAAATTCTCCCTGTTTGGAGCCAAGTTCCCCTGTTTGGAGCCAAATTCCCCCTTTTTGGGGCCAAACTCCCCCTTTTTGGGACAAACCCCCCCCTTTTTGGATCCAAATTCCCCACCTTGGTGCCAACCCCACCCTTTCTGCTCTCAACCCCATCCTTTTTGGGGACCAAACTCCCCCTTTTTAGTCCAAATTTCCCCTTTTCGGGCCCAAATTCACCCCTTTTTGAATCCAAATTCCCCACCTTGGTGCCAACCCCACCCTTTTTGGGGGCAAACTCCCCCTTTCTGGGTCCAAATTCCCCCTTTCTGGGACAAACCCCCCTTTTTGGGGCCAAATGACCCACCTTGGTGCCAACCCCACCATTTTGGAGCCAAACTCCCCCTTTTTGGGCCAAACTCCCCCCTTTTGGGGCCAAATTCCCCCTTTTTGGGACAAACTCCCCCCTTTTGAATCCAAATTCCCCCTTTTTGGGACAATATCCCCCCTTTTTGGGACAAAATCCCCCCTTTTGGAGCCAAATTCCCCACCTTGGTGCCAACCCCACCCTTTCTGGTCTCAACCCCACCCTTTTTGGGGTCAAACTCCCCCTTTTTGGGGCCAAACTCCCCCTTCTTGGGTCAAAACTCCCCCTTATTGGATCCAAATGACCCACCTTGGTGCCAACCCCACCCTTTTTGGGGCCAAACTCCCCTTTTTTGGGTCAAAACTCCCCCTTTTTGAATCCAAATTCCCCACCTTGGTGCCAATCCCACCCTTTTTGGGGCCAAACTCCCCCTTTCTGGGTCCATTTCCCCGGCTTTTGGGTCCGTCTCCCCCCTTTCCTCGGCCCTGCCGACCCCCCCTGCGCCCCCCCAGGTCCATTTTGGGGTGAAATCCCCCAATTTTGGGTCCGTCCTCCTCCCTCCCCCCAAACCCGCCGGTACCTGAGGGGAGGGCGCGGGAGGGCCGGCGCGCGCAGCTCTGGCCACGCCCCTGCTCTGCGCTGCCGCAGGGGCGGGGCGACGTAGGGGGGAGGGGCCTGTGTTGTGGGCGGGGATTGGTGGGGCGGAGTCGAGGGGCGTGGTTTCTGTGAATGGGGCGGTGATGGGGGCGTGGTTTGATGGGGGCGTGGTCCAAACAAGTGAAGGGGCGTGGTTTGTTTTGAAGGGGCGTGGCTGGGTTTGAGACCCCCCCCAGACCCCTCCCCAAACAGCAGTTGGGACCTCCCCCCAAAACCAGTGCTGAGACCCCAAAAATGGGGCTGAGACCCCTCAAGACCCCCCTAAAACGGGGGCTGAGATGCCTCCAGACCCCCAAAAATGGGGTTGAGACCCCTCCAGACCCCCAAAAATGGGCTGAGACCCCTCAAGACCCCCCAAAAATGGGCCTGAGATCCCTCCAGACCCCCCAAAAATGGGCCTGAGACTGCTCCAGAACCCCTAAAAATGGGGTTGAGACCCCTCCAGACCCCCCAAAAATGGGGCTGAGACCCCTCCAGACCCCCCAAAAATGGGGTTGAGATCCCTCCAGAACCCCCAAAAACGGGCCTGAGACCCCTTCCGACCCCCCAAAACAGGGGCTGAGTCCCCTCCAGACCCCCCAAAAATGGGTCTGAGACCCCTCCAGAACCCCCAAAAACGGGCCTGAGACCCCTCCCGACCCCCCAAAAATGGGGCTGAGACCCCTCCAGACTCCCCAAAAATGGGGTTGAGACCCCTCCAGACCCCCCAAAACAGGTGCTGAGATCCCTCCAGACCCCCCAAAATGGGGCTGAGACCCCTCCAGACGCCCAAAACGGGGGCTGAGACGCCTCCAGACACCCCAAAAATGAGGCTGAGACCCCTCTAGAACCCACAAAACAGGTTCTGAGACTGCTCCAGACCCCCAAAAATGGGGCTGAGACCCCTCCAAACACCCCAAAACAGGTGCTGAGATTCCTCCAGGCCCCCCAAAATGGGGCTGAGATCCCTCCAGAACCCCAAAAACTGAGATCCCTCCAGAACCCACAAAATGGGTTCTGAGACTGCTCCAGACCCCTCACAAATGGGGTTGAGACCCCTCCAGACTCTCCAAAAATGGGTGCTGAGACCCCTCCAGACCCCCCAAAATGAGGCTGAGACCTCTCCAGAGCCCCCAAAACGGGGGCTGAGACTCCTCCAGACCCCCCCAAAAATGGGTGCTGAGACCCCTCCAGACCCCCCAAAAACTGAGATCTCTCCAGAACCCACAAAATGGGACTGAGACCCCTCCAGACCCCCCAAAAATGGGGCTGAGACTTCTCCAGACCCCCCCAAAAATGGGACTGAGACCCCTCCAGACCCCCCAAAACTGGAGATCCCTCCAGAACCCACAAAATGGGTTCTGAGACTGCTCCAGATCCCCCCAACAATGGGGCTGAGACCCCTCCAACCCCCCAAAATGAGTGCTGAGATCCTCCCAAGACCCTGAAAATGGGGGCTGAGACCATCCCGCCAAGACCCCCCCCTAAAACAGGAGCTGGGACCCTCCCCAAATCCCCCCAAAAAGGCGCTGGGACCCCCCAAGGCTCCCCAAAACAGGTGCTGAGACCACCAAACCCTCCCAAAACTGCTGCTGAGACCACCGAAACACCTCAGGAGAGGAACTGCCCCTCTCCAGCTTTTACAGATGTTTTAAAAACTGTGTTATTCTAGTACTGAAAAAAAAAAAACAACTAAAAACTCATTTCTCTGCTGGTTTTTGTGGTTTTGAACTCACGGTTCGGAGTCATTCCAGCGGTGTCCAAGTGGTTTGGGAGCTGGCAAAGGGTTAAATGGAGACCTTGGGAAGAGTGGAGGGGGGAAAATGGGGCCTGGGGGGCTTGAGGGGCAGCTGAGGGGGGAGAATGGGATTGAAGAAGGAAATGGAGCCTGTGAGGGTGATGAGGGAGGAGATGGTGCCTGTGGGGCTTGAGGGGCAACTGAGGGGGGAGAATGGGATGAAGAAGGAAATGGAGGCCGTGAGGGGGTGATGGTGAAATGGTGCCTGTGGGGCTCGAGGGGCAACTGAGGGGGAAATGGGATGAAGAAGGAAATGGAGTCTGAGGGGCAGCAAAGGGGGAAATGGAGCCTGTGAGGGGAATGGTGGTAAAATGGTGCCTGTGGGGCTCAAGGGGCAACTGAGGGGGAAATGGGATGAAGAAGGAAATGGAGCCCAGTGAAGGGGGAAATGAGGAGAGGAAATGGTGCCTGTGGGGTTTGAGGGGGCAGCTGAGGGGGAAATGGGATGAAGAAGGAAATGGAGTCTGAGGGGCAGTAAAGGGGGAAATGGAGCCTGTGAGGGGAATGGTGGTAAAATGGTGCCTGTGGGGCTTGAGGGGCGGCTGAGGGGGAAAAGGGGATGAAGAAGGAAATGAAGCCTGCGAGGGGCAGTGAAGGGGGAAATGGAGCCTGTGAGGGGGATGAGGGAGGAGATGGTGCCTGTGGGACTTGAGGGGCAACTGAGGGGGGAGAATGGGATGAAGAAGGAAATGGAGGCCGTGAGGGGGTGATGGTGAAATGGTGCCTGTGGGGCTCGAGGGGCAACTGAGGGGGAAATGGGATGAAGAAGGAAATGGAGTCTGAGGGGCAGCAAAGGGGGAAATGGAGCCTGTGAGGGGAATGGTGGTAAAATGGTGCCTGTGGGGCTCAAGGGGCAACTGAGGAAATGGGATGAAGAAGGAAATGGAGTCTGAGGGGCAGCAAAGGGGGAAATGGAGCCTGTGAGGGGAATGGTGGTAAAATGGTGCCTGTGGGGTTTGAGGGGGCAGCTGAGGGGGAAATGGGATGAAGAAGGAAATGGAGTCTGAGGGGCAGTAAAGGGGGAAATGGAGCCTGTGAGGGGAATGGTGGTAAAATGGTGCCTGTGGGGCTTGAGGGGCGGCTGAGGGGGAAAAGGGGATGAAGAAGGAAATGAAGCCTGCGAGGGGCAGTGAAGGGGGAAATGGAGCCTGTGAGGGGGATGAGGGAGGAGATGGTGCCTGTGGGGCTTGAGGGGCAGCTGAGGGGGAAAAGGGAGGAGGAAGATGAAGAAGGAAATGGAGTCTATGAGGGGGATGAGGAAAGAAATGTTGCCTGCAGAGTTTGAGGGATGGCTGAGGGGGAGAAATGGTGCTCTTAAGGGTGATAAAGAAAGAAAAGGTGCCCTTGAGGGGGATGAGGGAGGAAATGGCCCCTGTAGGGAGGTTGAGGGAGGAAATGGTGGCCATGAGGAGTTATAAGGAGGCAAATGGCACTTGTTTAAGGGGGTTTGAGGGGTGGCTGAGGGGGGAAATGGAGCCCGTGGGGGGGATGATGGTGAAATGGTGGCTGTGGGGTTTAAGGGGCAGGTGAGGGGGAACTTGGTGCCTGTGAGGGTGATGAAGAGAGAAAAGGTGCCTTTGAGGGGGAGGAGGGAGGAAATGGTGGCTGTGAACGGAAATGGTGCCCATGAGGGGGAAAATGGTGCCTGTGGGGTTTGAGGGGCAGCTGAAGGGGGAAAATGGGCTGAAGGAAATGGAGCCCGTGAGGGGGGATGGTGAAATGGTGCCTGTGGGGCTCAAGGGGCAGCGAAGGGGGAAATGGAGGCCGTGAGGGGGATGAGGGTGGAAATGGTGGCTGTGGGGCTTCAGGGGCAGGTGAGGGGGAACTTGGTGCCCGTGAGGGCGTGAAGAAAGAAAAGGTGCCCTTGAGGGGGATGAGGGAGGAAATGGTGGCTGTGGGGTTTGAGGGGGCAGCTGAGGGGGGAAAATGGACTGAAGGAAATGGAGTCTGTGAGGGGGATGAGGGTGGAAATGGTGGCTGTGGGGCTTGAGGGGCAGCTGAGGGGAGAAAATGGACTGAAGGAAATGGAGTCTGTGAGGGGGATGATGGTGAAATGGTGCCTGGGGGGCTTGAGGGGTGGCTGAGGGGGAACTTGGTGCCCGTGAGGGCGATGAAGAAAGAAAAGGTGCCCTTGAGGGGGATGAGGGAGGAAATGGTGGCCATGAGGAGTTACAAGAAGGCAAATGGCACCTGTGGGGTTTGAGGGGCAGCTGAGGGGGAAAAATGGTGACTGAGAGGGGGACTAAGAAGGAAAAGGTGCCCTTAAGGGGGATGAGGGAGGAAATGGTGGCCACGAGGAGTTATAAGGAGGCAAATGGTACCTGTGGGGTTTGAGGGGCAGCTGAGGGGGGAAATGGAGGCCGTGAGGGGGATGAGGGAGGAAATGGTGCCTGGGGGGCTTGAGGGGTGGCTGAGGGGGAACTTGGTGCCCGTGAGGGCGATGAAGAAAGAAAAGGTGCCCTTGAGGGGGATGAGGGAGGAAATGGTGGCCATGAGGAGTTACAAGAAGGCAAACGGCACCTGTGGGGTTTGAGGGGCAGCGGAGGGGGAAAAATGGTGACTGAGAGGGGGACTAAGAAGGAAAAGGTGCCCTTAAGGGGGATGAAGAAAGAAATGGAGCCCGTGAGGGGGATGAAGAAAGAAAAGGTGCCCTTGAGGGCGATGAGGGAAGAAATGGCCCCTGTGGGGTTCGAGGGGCAGCTGAGGGGGGAAATGGAGCCTGTGAGGGGGATGAGGGAGGGAATGGCGGCCATGAAGGGAAATGGAGCCCATGAGGGTGAGATGAGGGTGAAAATGGTACCTGTGGGGTTTGAGGGGCGGCTGAGGGGGGAAATGGAGCCCGTGAGGGGAATGAGGGAGGAAATGGTGCCTGGGGGGTTTGAGGGGGCGGCTGAGGGGGAGAAATGGAGCCCGTGAGGGTGAGATGAGGGTGAAAATGGTGCCTGTGGGGTTTGAGGGGCGGCTGAGGGGGGAAATGGAGCCCGTGAGGGTGAGATGAGGGTGAAAATGGTGCCTGTGGGGTTTGAGGGGTGGCTGAGGAGGGACATGGAACCTGTGAGGGGGATGAGGGAGGGAATGGTGCCTGTGAGGAGGATGAGGGGGAACGCTTCAGTTTTGGGGCAGAGTGGCTGGAAATTACCCAGGAGGAAAGTCCTGGGCGTGCTGGACATGAGATGGTGTGTGTGCCCAGGTGTGCCCAGGTGTGTTCCAGGTGTGCCCAGGTGTGCCCAGGTGTGCCCAGGTGTGCCCAGATGTCTCCCAGGTATTCCCAGGTGTGCCCAGCTGTGCCCAGGTGTGTCCAGATGTCTCCCAGGTTTGTCCAGGTGTGCCCAGGTGTGCCCAGCTGTATCCCAGCTGTGCCCAGCTGTGCCCAGGTGTGCCCAGGTGTGCCCAGGTGTGTCCAGGTGTGCCCAGGTGTGTCCCAGGTATTCCCAGGTGTGCCCAGGTGTGCCCAGGTGTGTCCAGATGTCTCCCAGGTTTGTCCAGGTGTGCCCAGCTGTGTCCCAGGTGTGCCCAGGTGTGCCCAGGTGTGTCCCAGCTGTATTCCAGGTGTGTCCCAGGTGTGTCCCAGGTGTGCCCAGCTGTGTCCAGGTGCATCCCAGGTGTGCCCAGGTGTATCCCAGGTGTGCCCAGCTGTGCCCAGGTGTATCCCAGGTGTGCCCAGGTGTGTCCCAAGTGTGTCCCAGGTGTGTCCCAGGTGTGTCCCAAGTGTGTCCCAGGTGTGTCCCAGCTGTATTCCAGGTGTGTCCCAGGTGTATCCCAGGTGTGCCCAGTTGGGCCCAGGTGTGTCCCACATGTGCCCAGGTGTGTCCCAGGTGTGCCCAGGTGTGTCCCAGGTGTGCCCAGGTGTTTCCCAGGTGTATCCCAGGTGTGCCCAGTTGTGCCCAGCTGTTCCTAAAGGTATCCCAGGTGTGCCCAGCTGTGCCCAGCTGTGCCCAGCTGTGCCCAAGGGTATGCCAGGTGTGCCCAGGTGTGTCCCAGGTGTGCCCAGGTGTGTCCCAGGTGTATCCCAGGTGTGCCCAGTTGTGCCCAAGGGTATCCCAGGTGTGCCCAGCTGTGCCCAGGTGTGCCCAAGGGTATCCCAGGTTTGCCCAGGTGTGTCCCAGGTGTGCCCAGGTGTGTCCCAGCTGTGCCCAAGGGTATGCCAGGTTTGCCCAGTTGTGCCCAGGTGTGCCCCAGGTGTGTCCCAGGTGTGTCCCAGTGAAGGGTGACAGGTGTGGGGGTCCCTGTGACACCCGGGGGGCTCCAGAACTGGGGGGGGGAGGGGGTGTCCCTGAGGGTCCTTCACACCTGGGGGGTCCCTGGAGGATCTGGGGGGGCTGCAGAGCTTGGGGGGTCCCCGTGAGGGTCCCTAAAGGACCTCCCCGGCCAGAGGCGCCCTCTACCCTACCCAAACAACCGGGGGGTCCTAAAGCCCCTTATGGGACCTGGAGCCGCCCGCTGGGGAGGGCAGGGGGAGTTCCTGTGGCCCCTGAGGGAGAGACTCCACCCACCCCAAAGACCCCAGGCCCCCAAACACTGAGGGGGGGGCCACAGGACGCGACCCCCCCTTCGAGCGCCCTGGGAGGACTCAACTCTATGATCCGGAAATGCCCGCTCTGGCCGGCCGGGAGGACTCATCTCTATGGTTCCCCCCCGCCTCCCTTATTGGGGATTGGGGGGGCGGTTTCGTCTCTATGACCCCGCCGGGGTGGGCGGAGCGGCCACTTCCGGTCCCGCCCTCCGGGGGGGCGGGGTCCCGCGCGCCAAGATGGCGCAGGCTCTGTCGGCGGAGGAGTTCCAGAGGATGCAGGTGGGGAAATAGGGAAATTAGGGGGCTTTAAGGGGGTTAGGGGTGTTTGGGGCAGGTGGAGGAGTTTAGGGGGTCTGGGGAGGGTCAGAGGGTGTCCCGGGAGCGGGGTTAGCGTTGTTTAGGGGGCATTGGGGTACCTGGGGAGGGTCACGGGGGTCTTGGGAGGGGACCTGAGGGGCTGGGGGTTTAGGGAGACCCCAAAGTCCTCCATGCCTCAAATCCCCCGTTCAGGCGCAGCTGCTGGAGCTGAGAACGGAGAGCTGTCATTTTGGGGGGAGCTTGGGGGTCTGGAGGGTCCTGGGGTCTCAGGGTGGTCCTGGGGGTCTCAGGGGGTCCTGATGGTCTGGGGGTCTCAGGGGTCCTGGTGGTCTCAAGCTAAGCCCCAGGCACAGCTGCTGGAGCTGAGAACAGAGAATCATCATTTTGGGGGGATTGGGGGTCCTGGGGGTCTCAGGGGGTCCTGGGGGCTCAGGGGGTCCTGGGGGTCTCAGGGGGCTCCTGGTGGTCTCCAAGCCCCCAATCCCCAGTTCAGCGCAGCTGCTGGAGCTGAGAACAGAGAGCTGTCATTTTGGGGGGTTGGGGTGTTCTGGGGGTCTCAGGGGTTCCTGGGGATCTCAGAGTGGTCTTGGGAGGTCTCAGGGTGGTCCTGGAGGGTCCTGGGGGGTCTCAGGGTGGTCCTGGGGGGTCTCAGGGTGGTCCTGGTGGTCTCCAAGCCCCTAAGCTCCCCATTCAGGCGCAGCTGCTGGAGCTGAGAACGGAGAATCATCATTTTGGGGGGGAGGTTGGGGGGCTCCTGGGGTATTTTGGGGGTTCCTGGGGTCTCAGGGTGGTCCTGGGGGTCTCAGGGGGGTCCTGGGGGTCCTGGTGGTCTCCAAGCCCCAAAATCCCCCTTTCCCCAGGCTGGAGCTGAGAACAAGAGTCATCATTTTGGGGGGAGATTTGGGGGTCCTGGGGTCTCAGGATGGTCCTGGGGGGTCTCAGGGGGGGTCTCAGGGGGTTCCTGGTGGTCTCCAAGCCCCCCTAAACCCCCCCAGGTGCAGCTGCTGGAGCTGAGAAGGGAGAAGTATCATTTTGGGGGGGAGGTTGGAGGGCTCCTGGGGTATTTTGAGGGTTCCTGGGGGTCTCAGGGTGGTCCTGGGGGGTCTCAGGGTGGTCCTGGGGGATCCTGGGGGGCTCCTGGTGGTCTCAAGCCCCCAAATCCTCAGGCGCAGCTGCTGGAGCTGAGAACGGAGAATCATCATTTGGGGGGACTTGGAGAGTCCTGGAGGTGTTCTGGGGGTTCCTGGGAGGTCTCAGGGGATCTCAGGGTGGTCCTGGTGGTCTCCAAGCCCCCCCAAATCCCCCCCAGGCGCAGCTGCTGGAGCTGAGAACGGAGAACTATCGACTGTCGGACGAGCTGCGCAAGAAGCGGGGCCGGTGGGGGCTCGGGCTCAGGGGTTGGGGGTCTGGGAGGCTTTAGGGGTTTTGGGTGGTCCCTGAGGGTCCCTAGGGGTCCTGGGAGGGGTCTCAGGGGGATTTGGGAGGTTTTGGGGGTCCTGAGGGTCCTGCAGGAGCTCCAGGGTCCCTGGGGGCTCGGGGGGGTCTGGGGGCTTTTGGGGGTCCTGGGGGTCTTGGGTGGTCCCTGAGGGTCCCTGGGGGTCCTGGGAGGGGTCTCAGGGGGATTTGGGAGGTTTTGGGGTTTCCTGGGGGTCCTCAAGGAGCTTAGGGGGTCCCTGGGGGGCTCAGAGGGGCTTTTGGGGAGGGCTTGGGGGTCCGGGGGGCTCTTGGGGGCTGGGGGCTTGTGGAGGGGCCTGGGGTCTTAGGTGGTCTGGGGGCTCAAAGGGGTCCTGATTGGGGGGCCTTGTAGGGGTTTTGGGGGGCTCAGGGATCCCTGGGGTCCCTGGGTGGGTAGGGGTCCGGGGGTTCAGGGGATCCTGGGGATCCTGGGGATCTGGAGTGTCCTGGGGGGCTCAGGGGTCTCTGTCCACCCCAGAGCTGTTGGGGCTGTGTCAGCCGGGGGTCCTGAGGGGTCCCTGGGTGGGTTCTGGGGAGTTCAGGGGTCTGGGGGTCCTGGGTGGGTTCAGGGGATCTGGGTGGGTTCAGGGGTCCTGGGTGGGCTCAGGGGTGCTGGGGGGCCTAGGGATCCTGGGGGTTCAAGGGGTCTCTGGGGAGGTTCAGGGGTCCCTGGGGGGTTCAGGGGTCCTGGGTGGGTTCAGGGGATCTGGGTGGGCTCAGGGGGATCTGGGTGGGCTCAGGGGATCTGGGTGGGTTCAGGGATCTGGGTGGGTTCAGGGGTCCTGGGTGGGTTCTAGGGGTCCTGGGTGGGTTCAGGATCCTGGGGTCCTGGGTGGGTTCAGGGGTCCTGGGTGGGTTCAGGGGTCCTGGGTGGGTTCAGAGGGTCCTGGGTGGGTTCAGGGATCTCTGGGGGGTTCAGGGGTCCCTGGGTGGGTTCAGGGGATCTGGGTGGGTTCAGGGGTCCTGGGTGGGTTCAAGGGGTCCCTTGGGGGTTCAGGGGTCTCTGGGTGGGTTCAGGGGTCTCTGGGTGGGTTCAAGGGGTCCCTGGGTGGGTTCAGGGGTCTCTGGGTGGGTTCAGGGGTCCTGGGTGGGTTCAGGGGTCCTGGGTGGGTTCAGGGTCCCTGGGTGGGTTCAGGGTCTCTGGGTGGGTTCAGGGGTCCCTTGGGGGTTCAGGGTCTCTGGGTGGGTTCAGGGGTCTCTGGGTGGGTTCAAGGGGTCCCTGGGTGGGTTCAGGGGTCTCTGGGTGGGTTCAGGGGTCCTGGGTGGGTCTCAGGGGTCCCTGGGTGGGTTCAGGGGTCCCTGGGTGGGTTCAGGGGTCCCTGGGTGGGTTCAGGGGTCTCGGTGGTCAGGGGTCCTGGGTGGGTTCAGGGTCTCTGGGTGGTTCAGGGGTCTCTGGGTGGGTTCAGGGTCCTGGTGGGTCAGGGGTCTGGGTGGGTTCAGGGGTCCTGGGTGGGTTCAGGGGTCTCTGGGTGGGTTCAGGGGTCCCTGTGGGTTCAAGGAGTCTCTGGGTGGGTCAGGGGTCCTGGATGGGTTCAGGGTCCTGGGGGCTCAGGGGATCTGGGTGGGTTCAGGGTCTCTGGGTGGGTTCAGGGATCCTGGGTGGGTTCAAGGGTCCCTGGGTGGGTTCAGGGGTCCTGGATGGGTTCTAGGGTCCCTGGGGCCTAGGGTCTCTAGAGGCTAGGGTCTCTGGGTGGGTCTAGGGTCCTGGGTGGGTTCAGGGGTCTCTGGGGTGGGCTCAGGGGTCGGAGGGTTCAAGGGTCTCTGGGGGCTCAGGGGTCTGGGGGCTAGGGGTCCCTGGGGTTCAGGATCCTGGGGGCTCAGGGGATCCTGGGGGCTCAGGGGTCCTGGGGTCTCTGGGGGCTCAGGGGTCTCTGTCCCCCAGAGCTGTCAGGGCTGCGCCAGCGGGTGCAGAGCCTGACAAGGACCTGGCCAAGGCCAACAAGGTGAGACCCTCCCAATTGGGACCCCCACCCTTGGGACCCTCCCCACTCCTTGAGCCCCAGACTCCTCCTCACCCTGGGACCCCGCCTGAGACCCCTCACTTGGGACCCCTGAGACCCCACTTGGGACCCTGAGACCCCCACTTGAGACCACCCTTGGGACCCTCCCACCCTTGGGACCTCTAAGACCCCTCCACTCTGGACCCTCGAGACCCCCAGTGACTCCCTTTCTCCCCCTCTTTTCCAGGCCCTCAGTAAGAGCAAGAAGGGCCCAGGTGGGTCCTGGGGGGATTTGGGGGTCCTGGGGGATTTTAGGGTCTCTGTTAGTCCCTGGGGGCTTTTGAGGTCCTGGGGGGATTTTGGGGTCCTGGGGGATTTGGGGTCTCTGTTGGTGCTGGAGGGGATTTGGGGTCTTAGGGGTGCTATGGGGGATTTTGGGGTACTGGGGGATTTTTAGTCCGGGGATTTGGGAGTCCTGGGGGAGTCTGGAGGTTTTGGGAGTCTCTGTGGTGCTGGGGGATTTTGGGGGTGCTGGGAGGATTTTGGGGTCTGGGTATGCTGAATTTTGGGGTGCTGGGAGGATTTGGGGTCCTGGGGGTGCTGGGAGGGATTTTGGGGGTCTCTGGGGGGGTGCTGGGGGAATTTTGGGGGTCCTGGGAGAGGGATTTTGGGAGTCTCTGGGGGGTTTGGGGTCCTGGGGGAGATTTGGGATTCTGGGGTCTGCGGTTTGGGGTGCTGGAGGATTTTGGGGGTCTCTGTTGGTGCTGGGGGATTTTGGGGGTCCTGGGGGATTTTGGGTGCTGGGGGATTTTGGGGGTGCTGGGGATTTTGGGGGTCTCTGTTGGTGCTGGGGGATTTTGGGGTGCTGGGGGATTTTGGGGTCCTGGGGGATTTTGGGGTCCTGGGAGGGATTTTGGGGGTGCTGGGGGAATTTGGGGTGCTGGGGGATTTTGGGGGTCCTGGGAGGGATTTTGGGAGTCCTGGGGGATTTTGGGGGTCTCTTGGTGCTAGGGGGGATTTTGGGGGTGCTGGGGGATTTTGGGGGTCTCTGTTGGTGCTGGAAAGGATTTTGGGGGTCTCTAGGGTACTGGGGGATTTTGGGGTCTTGGGGGTTTGGGGTCTCTGGGGATGCTGGGGAATTTTTGGAGTCCTGGGGGATTTTGGGGTCCTGGGGATTTTGGGGTCCTGGGAGGGATTTTGGGGTCCTGGGAGGGATTTGGGGGGTCCTTGTGAGCACTGGGGGGGGGTCTTTGTGTTTTTGGGGTCCCTGGGTGGGTTCAGGGGTATTTTTGGGGGTCTCTGGGTGTATTTTTGGGGGTTTTGGGTGTATTTTTGGGGTCCCCAGGAGGTGGAGGCGCTGCTGGGGGAGACGTGGATGCTGCAGGGGGTTTGGTGTTATTTTGGGGTTGTTTTGGGGTTATTTTGGGGGTTCAGGATGTTTTTGGGATTTCTGGGTGTATTTTTGGGGGGTCTCAGCCCGTTTTTGGGGTCCCAGGAGGTGGAGGCGCTGCTGGGGAGACGCGGATGCTGCAGGGGGTTGGGGTGTTTTGGGGTTATTTTAGGGGTTTGGGGGCTATTTGGGGTTATTTTGGGGGTATTTTGGGGGTTTTGGGGTTATTTTGGGGGTTCAGGATGTTTTTGGGGTCTGTGGGTGTGTTTTTGGGGTCTCTGGGTGTGTTTTTGGGGTCTCAGCCCGTTTTTGGGGTCCCAGGAGGTGGAGGCGCTGCTGGGGAGACGCGGATGCTGCAGGGGGATTTGGGGGTGTTTTGGGGGATCTCTGGGCGGCTCAGGGTATTTTGGTGGGTTCAGGATGCTTTGGGGTCTGTAGGTGTGTTTTTGGGGGTCTCAGTGTGTTTTTGGGGTCCCAGGAGGTGGAGGCGCTGCTGGGGGAGACGTGGATGCTGCGGGGTTGGGGGTGTTTTGGGGGATCTCTGGGTGGGCTCAGGGTATTTTGGGTGGGTTCAGGATGCTTTTGGGGTCTCTGGGCGTGTTTTTGGGGTCTCTGGGTGTTTTTGGGGGTCTCAGGGTGTGTTTGGGGTCCCCAGGAGGTGGAGGCGCTGCTGGGGGAGACGCGGATGCTGCAGGGGGATTGGTGTTATTTTGGGGGTTTTGGGGGTATTTTTGGGGTTCAGGATGTTTTTGGGGTCTCTGGGTGTGTTTTTGGGGTCTCTGGGTGTGTTTTTGGGGGTCTCAGCCCGTTTTTGGGGTCCCAGGAGGTGGAGGCGCTGCTGGGGGAGACGGATGCTGCAGTGGGGGTTGGGGTGTTTTGGGGTTATTTGGGGTTTGGGGTATTTTGGGGTTATTTTGGGGGTATTTTGGGGGGGTTTTGGGGTTATTTTGGGGGTTCAGGATGTTTTTGGGGTCTCTGGGTGTGTTTTTGGGGGTCTCAGGGTGTATTTTGGGGTCCCAGGAGGTGGAGGCGCTGCTGGGGGAGACGCGGATGCTGCAGGGGGTTGGGGTTGTTTTGGGGGATCTCTGGGCGGGCTCAGGGGTATTTTGGGTGGGTTCAGGATGTTTTTGGGGTCTGTGGGTGTGTTTTTGGGGGGTCTCAGCCCGTTTTTGGGGTCCCCAGGAGGTGGAGGCGCTGCTGGGGAGACGCGGATGCTGCAGGGGGTTTGGGGTTATTTTGGGGTTGTTTTGGGGTTATTTTGGGGGTTCAGGATGTTTTTGGGATTTCTGGGTGTGTTTTTGGGGTCTCTGGGTGTGTTTTTGGGGGGTCTCAGCCCATTTTTGGGGTCCCCAGGAGGTGGAGGCGCTGCTGGGGGAGACGCAGATGCTGCAGGGGGTTGGGGGTGTTTTGGGGTTGTTTAGGGGTTTGGGGGCTATTTAGGGGTTATTTTGGGGGTATTTTGGGGGGGTTTTGGGGTTATTTTGGGGGTTCAGGATGTTTTTGGGGTCTCTGGGTGTGTTTTTGGGGGGTTTGGGTGTATTTTTGGGTGTATTTTGGGGTCCCAGGAGGTGGAGGCGCTGCTGGGGGAGACGCGGATGCTGCAGGGGGGGGTTGGGGTTGTTTGGGGGATCTCTGGGTGGGCTCAGGGGTATTTTGGGGTTGTTTTGGGGTTATTTTGGGTGGTCTCTGTATTTTTGGGCTCTCTGGGTGTGTTTTTGGGGGGTCTCAGGGTGTGTTTGGGGTCCCCAGGAGGTGGAGGCGCTGCTGGGGGAGACGCGGATGCTGCAGGGGAAGCTGCAGAGCCAGGAGGACGATTTTCGGCTCCAGAACAGCACCCTGCTGAGGGAACTGGCCAAGGTGGAGACCCCAAATGTCCCCAAAACTGACCCCAAATATCCCCAAATGTCCCCAGAGCACCCTGCTGAGGGAGCTGGCAAAGGTGGGACCCCAGAGACCCCAAATGTCCCCAAAACTGACCCCAAGTATCCCCACAGCACCCTGCTGAGGGAGCTGGCAAAGGTGGGACCCAAAACTGACCCTAAATAACCCCAAATGACCCCAAATCTGACCCCAAATGTCCCCAAAGCTGACCCCAAATGTCCCAAATGACCCCAAAACTGACCTCCAAATGTCCCCAAATGTCCCCACAGCACCCTGCTGAGGGAACTGGCCAAAGGTGGGACCCCAAATGTCCCCAAATGACCCCAAATGTCCCCACAGCACCCTGCTGAGGGAGCTGGCCAAGGTGGGACCCCAAAATGACCCTAAATGACCCCAAATGTTCCCAAATGACCCCAAATGACCCCAAATGTCCCCAAATGACCCCAAATGACCCCAAATGTCCCCACAGCACCCTGCTGAGGGAGCTGGCCAAGGTGGGACCCCAGAAATGACTAACCCCAAATATCCCCAAATGTCCCCAAAACTGTCCCCAAATGTCCCCACAGCACCCTGCTGAGGGAGCTGGCAAAGGTGGGACCCCCAGAGACCCCAAATGTCCCCAAATGACCCCAAAACTGACCCCAAATGTCCCCACAGCACCCTGCTGAGAGAGCTGGCAAGGTGGGACCCCAAAACTGACCCCAAATGACCCCAAAACTGACCCCAAATGTCCCCACAGCACCCTGCTGAGGGAGCTGGCCAAAGGTGGGACCCCCAGAGACCCCAAAACTGACCCCAAATGTCCCCAAATGTCCCCAAAGGGTCCCCAAATGTCCCTTGTTGAGGGAACTGGCCAAGGTGGGACCCCAAAACTGACTCCAAATGTCCCCAAAACTGACCCCAAATGTCCCCAAATGTCCCCACAGCACCCTGCTGAGAGAGCTGGCAAAGGTGGGACCCCAGAGACCCCAAAACTGACCCCAAATATCCCCAAATGTCCCCACAGCACCCTGCTGAGAGAGCTGGCAAAGGTGGGACCCCAAAATGTCCCCAAATGTCCCCAAAACTGACCCCAAATGTCCCCACAGCACCCTGCTGAGGGAGCTGGCAAAGGTGGGACCCCAGAGACCCCAAAACTGACCCCAAATGACCCCAAAACTGACCCCAAATGTCCCCAAATGTCCCCACAGCACCCTGCTGAGGGAGCTGGCAAGGTGGGACCCCAAATGTCCCCAAATGTCCCCAAAACTGACCCCAAATGTCCCCACAGCACCCTGCTGAGAGAACTGGCCAAGGTGGGACCCCAAAATGTCCCCAAATGACCCCAAATATCCCTAAATGTCCCCACAGCACCCTGCTGAGGGAGCTGGCAAAGGTGGGACCCTAAAACTGACCCCAAATGTCCCCAAATGACCACAAAACTGACCCCAAATGTCCCCAAGTGACCCCAAAGTGTCCCCAAATGTCCCTTGTTGAGGGAGCTGGCCAAGGTGGGACCCCCAGAGACCCCAAAGGGTCCCCAAAGGGTCCCCAAAGGGTCCCCAAAGGGTCCCCAAAGTGTCCCCTGGGCCACCTTGGGGGTCTCCTGGGGTCATTTTGGGGTTCCAGGGGTGTTTTGGGGGTCCCAGAGCTGGTTTTGGGGTCCCATGGCCATTTTTAGGGTTCCCAGAGCCGTTTTTGGGGGTCCCAGAGCCATTTTTGGGGGTCCCAGGGGGTATTTTGGGGTCCCAGGGGGTATTTTGGGGGTCCCAGAGCCATTTTTGGGGGTCCCAGGGCCATTTTTGGGGTCTCATGGCTGTTTTTGGGGGGGGGTCCCAGCTGTGTGCCCAGATCGAGGGGCTGGAGGAGGAGAACCGGCGGCTGCAGGAGGGGGCCCCAGAGACCCCCAGGGACCCCAGGCCCTCCAGGACCCCCAAAGTCGGCAGAGCCCCCAGGACGGGGCCAGAGGGGATGGGGGCCCCTGACGGTGAGGGGGCACCTGGGGGGTATTGGGGGGGTCTGGGGGCTTGGGGAGGTTTTGGGGGTCCCTGGGGGCTTGGGGAGGATTTGGGGGTCCTTGGGGGTTGGGGGTCTGGGAGGGTTTTGGGGGACCCAGGGCGTTTTGGGGGTCCCTGGGGGCTTGGGGAGGTCTTGGGAGTCTCAGGGGTCCTTGGGGGCGGTTGGGGAGGATTTAAGGGTCTGGGGGATCCTGGGGGGTTGGGGAGGATCTGGGGGTCCTTGGGGGTTTGTGGGTCTTTGGGGGTCTGGGGGGTTGGGGAGGTTTTGGGGGCTCTGAGGGGTTTGGGGAGGTTTTTGGGGGGTTTGAGGGGTCCTGGGGGTCTGGGAGGGGTTTGGGGGCTCCAGGGGGATTTTGGGGTCCCAGAGATCTTGGGGGAGGGGGAGGGGCCCAGGAGGGTCTGGGGGGGTTGGGGGTCTGGGGTGTTTTTGGGTGGTCCCAAAGAGTTTTTTGGGAGGAGGGGGATCCCTGTGGACATTTGGGGCTCCCTGGGGGTGGGGGTGTTTTGGGGGTCCCTGAGGGATTTGGGGAGGACTTGGGGGTCTCTGGGTCTGACCCCCTCTGCAGCCTCCAGAGCCCCCAGGAGCTGCAGGAGGGAGGGGCGACGCCCTGGAACCACTGGCACCCCTGCCCAGGTAGGGGGACTTGGGGGTCTCTGGGGGTTTGGGGATTTGGAGAAATTTGGGGAGATTTGGGAGGGCTTTGGGGGATTTGGGGAGGCTTGGGGTGTTTGGGGGATTTAGGGGGTCTTTGGGGAGATTTGGAGGGCATTTGGGGAGGCTTGGGGTGTTTGGGGGATTTGGGGGATTTGGGGGATTTGGAGGTGATTTGGGGGTCTTTGAGGGATTTGGGGGTCTCTGGGGACTTTGGAGGGATTTGGGGGAGATTTGGGGGGATTTGGTGGGGTCTCTGGGGGATTTGGGGGTCTTTGGAGGGATTTGGGGGTCTCTGGGGATTTCGGGGTCTCTGGGGACTTTGGAGGATTTGGGGGATTTGGAGGGGATTTGGGGGATTTGGGCGTCTTTGGAGGGATTTGGGGGGTCTCTGGGGGATTTGGGGGGTCTCTGGGGACTTTGGAGGGATTTGGGGGGTTTGGGGAGGATTTGGGGGTCTGGGGGGCACTCGGGGTTTTGGGGGTCTCTGGGGAGGTTTGAGGGGTCTCTGAGGGGGTTTGGGGAGTTTGAGGGGTTTGGGTGGGGATGTGGGGGCTCTCTGGGAATGTTTTGGGGGTCTCAGGTGGTTTTGGGGTGGCTTTTGGGGTCTCTGGGGGTATTTGGGGGTGTTTTGGGGGTCTCTGGGGGTGTTTGGGGGTCTCAGGTGGTTTTGGGTGATTTTGGGGGTCTCAGGTGTTTTTGGGGTGTTTTTGGGGGTCTCTGGGGGTCTCCCACAGGCAGAGGTGGCCCAGCTGCAGGCAGAGGTGGCCAAGGTAAGGAGGGGGAGGGGGATTTGGGGGTCTTGGGGGGTGGGGTCTCCTGAGAGGGATCTGGGGGAGGGTTTGGGGTCTGGGAGGGGATTTGGGGGGTCCTGGGGGGGATATTTGGGGTCCCAGGGGGATTTGGGGGCAATCTGGGGGGACCTGGGGTGGATTTGGGGTCTCTTGAGGTGGATTTGGGGTCTCCTGGGATGGATTTGGGGTCTCTTGGGATGGATTTGGGGTCTCTGGGGTGGATTTGGGGTCTCTTGGGGTGGATTTGGGGTCTCTTGGGGTGGATTTGGGGTCTCTTGGGGTGGATTTGGGGTCTCTGGGGTGGATTTGGGGTCTCTTGGGGTGGATTTGGGGTCTCTGGGGTGGATTTGGGGTGGATTTGGGGTCTCTGGGGTGGATTTGGGGTCTCCTGGGGTGGATTTGGGGTCCCTGGGGTGGATTTGGGGTCCCCTGGGGTGGATTTGGGGGGATTTGGGGTTGATTTGGGGTCTCTGGGTTGGATTTTGGGTGGATTTGGGGTCCCCTGGGGTGGATTTGGGGTCTCTGGGGTGGATTTGGGGTCTTTGGGGTGGATTTGGGGTCTCTGGGGTGGATTTGGGGGGATTTGGGGTGGATTTGGGGTCTCTGGGGTGGATTTGGGGTCTCCTGGGGTGGATTTGGGGTGGATTTGGGGTCTCTGGGGTGGATTTGGGGTCTCTGGGATGGATTTGGGGTCTCTGGGGTGGATTTGGGGTCTCTGGGGTGGATTTGGGGTCCCTGGGGTGGATTTGGGGTCTCTGGGGGTGGATTTGGGGTCTCTGGGGTGGATTTGGGGTCTCCTGGGGTGGATTTGGGGTCTCTGGGGTGGATTTGGGGTCCCTGGGGTGGATTTGGGGTCTCCTGGGGTGGATTTGGGGTCTCGGGGGTGGATTTGGGGTCCCCTGGGGTGGATTTGGGGTCTCTGGGGTGGATTTGGGGGGTCTTGGGGTGGATTTGGGGTCTCTTGGGGTGGATTTGGGGTCTTTTGGGGTGGATTTGGGGGGTCCTGAGGTGGATTTGGGGGGATTTGGGGTGGATTTGGGGTCTCTGGGGTGGATTTGGGGTCTCTGGTTTGGATTTGGGGTCTCTGGGGTGGATTTGGGGTCTCCTGAGGTGGATTTGGGGTCTCTGGGTTGGATTTGGGGTGGATTTGGGGTCTCTGGGGTGGATTTGGGGTCTCTGGGGGTGGATTTGGAGTCTCTGGGGTGGATTTGGGGTGGATTTGGGGTCTCTTGGGGTGGATTTGGGGTCTCCTGAGGTGGATTTGGGGTTTCTGAGGTGGATTTGGGGTCCTCTGGGTTGGATTTGGGGGGATTTGGGGTTGATTTGGGGTCTCTGGGGTGGATTTGGGGTCTCTGGGGTGGATTTGGGTGGATTTGGGGTGGATTTGGGGTCTCCTGAGGTGGATTTGGAGTCTCTGGGTTGGATTTGGGGTGGATTTGGGATGGATTTGGGGTCCCCTGGGGTGGATTTGGGGTGGATTTGGGGTCTCCTGGGGTGGATTTGGGGTCTCTGGGTTGGATTTGGGGTCTCTGGGGTGGATTTGGGGTCTCTGGGGTGGATTTGGGGTCTCTGGGGTGGATTTTGGGTCTCCTGGGGTGGATTTGGGGTCTCTGGGGGTGGATTTGGGGTGGATTTGGGGTCTCTGGGGTGGATTTGGGGGGATTTGGGGTGGATTTGGGGTCTCTTGGGGTGTATTTGGGGTCTCCTGAGGTGGATTTGGGGTCCCTGGGATGGATTTGGGGTCCCCTGGGGGTGGATTTGGGGTCTCTGGAGTGGATTTGGGGTCTCCTGGGATGGATTTGGGGTCTCTTGGGGTGGATTTGGGGTCTCCTGGGGTGGATTTGGGGTCTCTTGGGGTGGATTTGGGGTCTCTGGGTTGGATTTGGGGGGTCCTGAGGTGGATTTGGGGGGATTTGGGCTGGATTTGGGGTCTCTGGGGTGGATTTGGGGTCTCTTGGGGTGGATTTGGGGTCTCTGGGGTGGATTTGGGGTCTCTGGGGTGGATTTGGGGTCTCCTGGGGTGGATTTGGGGTCTCTGGGGTGGATTTGGGGTTTCTGAGTTGCCTCCCCCTCTTTTCCCCCCCAGCTGAGGGAGGAGCTGAGGCAGCAACGGGACAGGTGAGACTTTTGGGGGCATTTTGGGCCATTTTGGGGCATTTTATGATGTTTTGGGGCCATTTTGGGGTCATTTTATTGTGTTTTGGGGCCATTTTGGGGTCATTTTATTGTGTTTTGGGGCCATTTTGAGGTTATTGTGTTTTGGGGGCATTTTGGGGTCAATTTATTGCAATTTAAGGTAATTTTTTGGTCATTTTATTGTGTTTTTGGGCCATTTTGGGTCATTTTATTGTGTTTTGGGAACATTTTGGGGTCATTTTATTGCATTTTGGGGCCATTTTGGGGTCATTTTGGGGTCATTTTAATCAGTTTGGGGTCATTTTATTGCAGCTTGGGGTCTTTTGGGGTCGTTTCGAGCCGTTTTTGGTCATTTTGGGGTCAATTTGAGCCGTTTTTGGACCATTTTGGTGCCAGTTTGGTTCATTTCGGGGTTATTTTGGGGTTGTTTGTGCCCATTTTGGGGGTTACTTTGGACTTTTGGGACATTTTAGGATAATTTTTTGGTATTTTGGGGTCGTTCGGGGCCGTTTTGGGCCATTTTCAGCCATTTTGGGGTTTTTTTGGAGTCATTTTTGGGGTAATTTTTTGACCATTTTGGGGTCATTTTTGGGCAATTTTGGGGTCAATTTTGGGCAATTTGGGGTCATTTTTGGGTCATTTTAGGGACATTTTGTTGCATTTTTGGGGCCATTTTGGATTCTTTTTTTTGCATTTCGGGGCCATTTGGGGTTCTTTTGTGTTTTGCATTTTGGGGCAATTTTGGGGTCATTTTGGGTTCTTTTGAGGGCATTTCAAGCCAATCAATTTTGGGGTCACTTTGGGCCATTTTGGGATCATTTTTAGGCATTTTGGGGTCTTTTTTGCCATTTTGGGGTAATTTTTTGACTCCTTTGTGAGCAGTTTTTTCAGGCCATTTTTGGGGTGGTTTTGGACCCTTTTGGGACTGTTTTAGGTGCATTTTGGGGGAATTTTCTGGCCATTTTGGGGTAATTTTGAGGCATTTGGGGCCATTTCACATCGTTTGGGGACCGGTTTGGTTCTTTTGGGGTCATTTGGGGCCAATTTGGGGTCGTTTGGGGCCATTTTCAGTCATTGGGGGGTCATTTTTGGGTCATTTTTGGCCATTTTCAGTCATTGGGGGATCATTTTTGGGTCGTTTTGGGCCATTTTCAGTCATTGGGAGGTCATTTTTGGGTCGTTTTGGGCCATTTTGGGTCATTTTTGGGGTGATTTTTGGACCATTTTGAGGTGGTTTGGGGTCATTTTGTTGCATTTTGGTGTCATTTTGGGGCCATTTTAGGGCTATTTAGTTGCGTTTTGGGGTCATTTTGGGTCCGTTTTGAGTCATTTTGGGTCATTTTGGGGTTGCTTTGCTACATTTTAGGTTTTTTCGTTGCATTTTGGGTCATTTTTGGGACCTTTTCCCTGATTTTTGCCCGTTTTTCCCTGTTTTTTTCCCAGTTTTCTGCAGCTGCAGGCGGAGAAGGAGACGCTGCTCCAGAACAGCCGGTGGGATTTGGGGGTTTTGGGGGGGATTTTGGGGTCCCTGAGGAGATTTGGGGGTCCCAGGGTGGGTTTTGGGGGTCCCAGGGAGATTTTGGTGGGATTTTGGATGTCCCTGGGGGGATTTGGGGGTCCCAGGATGTGTTTTTAGGATCCCAGGGGGGTATTGGGGGGTTTTTGGGGTCCCAGGCTGTGTTTTGGAAGTCCCAGGGTGTGTTTTGGGGTGTTTTTGGGGTCCCAGGATGTATTTTTGGGGGTCCCAGGGTGCGTTTTGGGGGTCCCAGGGTGTGTTTTTAGGATCCCAGGGGCGTTTTAGGGGGTTTTGGGAGGTCCCAGGATGTGTTATGGGAGTTTTTGGGGTCCCGGGGGGGGGTTTGGAGGTCCCAGGGTGGGTTTTGGGGGGTTTTTGGTGTCCCAGGATGTGTTTTTTGGGTCCCAGGGTGTGTTTTGGGGTCCCAGAGTGTGTTTTGTGGTCCCAGGGTGTGTTTTGGGGTCCCAGGGTGTGTTTTTGGGGGTCCCAGGGGGGTTTTGGGGGATTTTGGGGGTCCCAGGGCATGTCTTGGGGGTCCCAGGGTGAGTTTTGGGGGGTTTTTGGGAGTCCCAGGGTGAGTTTTGGGGTTTTTGGGGTCGCAGGCTGTGTTTTTGGTGTCCCAGGGTTTGTTTTTGGTGTCCCAGGATGTATTTTTGGTGTCCAAGGGTGTGTTTTTGGTGTCCCAGGGTGTGTTTTTGGGTGTTTTTGGAGTCCCAGGCTGTGTTTTTGGTGTCCCAGGGTGTGTTTTGGGGGGTTTTGGAGGTCCCAGGCTGTGTTTTTAGGATCCCAGGCTGTGTTTTGGAGGTCCCAGGGTGTGTTTTTAGGATCCCAGGGTGTGTTTTGGGGGTTCCAGGCTGTGTTTTTAGGATCCCAGGGTGTGTTTTGGGATGTTTTTAGGATCCCAAGGGGGTTTTGGGGGGTTTTTGGAGGTCCCAGGGTGTGTTTTGGGGTGTTTTTGGGGTCCCAGGGTGTGTTTTTGGGGTCCTGGGGTGTGTTTTGGGGGTCCCAGGGTGTGTTTTGGGGTGTTTTTAGGATCCCAGGGTGTGCTTTGGTGTGTTTTTGGGGTCCCAGGCTGTGTTTTTGGGGTGTTTTTAGGATCCCAAGGGGGTTTTGGGGGGTTTTTGGGGTCCCAGGCTGTGTTTTTGGGGTCCCTGAGCCCCCCCTGAGCCCCCCCGTGCCCCCCAGGAGCGAGGCCGAGCAGCTCCGGGCCCGGCAGGATTCGGAATTCCGGGAGCTCCAGGCCCGGATCCGGCGGCTGCAGCAGGACCTGGACGAGGCCACCCAGGTGGGGGGGCGGGGGGGGCACACAGGATTTGGGGGTCCCAGCCCCCTGACAGATTTTGGGGGTCCCAGGCCCAGGGGGCTGCAGGAAGGTTTGGGGTCCCAGCCCCCTTGATGTATTTTGGGGGTCTCAGGCCCGGGGGCTGCAGGAACTCACTGATGGTTTTGGGGGTCCCAGCCCCTGATGTATTTGGGGGTCTCAGGCCCGGGGGGGCTGCAGGAACTCACTGATGGTTTTGGGGGGGGTTTCAGCCCCCCCTGACAGATTTTGGGAGGGGTCCCAGGCCTGGGGGGGGCTGGAGGAAGGTTTGGGGGGTTTTTGAGCCCCCTGACAGATTTTGGGAGGGTCCCAGGCCTGGGGGGCTGGAGGAAGGTTTGGGGGTTTTTGAGCCCCCCATGACAGGTTTTTGGGGGTCCCAGGCCCAGGGGGGGCTGCAGGAGCTGAGTGAGGAGCGGGTCAGGAGTGTTTTGGGGGTTGTTTTGAGCCCCCCCTGATGTATTTTGGGGAGGGTCCCAGGCCCAGGGGGTTCAGGAAGGTTTGGGGGTGTTCCCAGCCCCCACGATGTATTTGGGGGTCCCAGGCCCAGGGGGTTCAGGAGTGTTTGGGGGTGTTCCCAGCCCCCTGATGGAATATTTTGGGGGTCCCAGGCTCAGGGGGCTGCAGGAGCTGAGCGAGGAGCGGGTCAGGAGTGTTTGGGGGGGTTCAGGAATGTTTGGGGGTCCCAGGCCCAGGGGGCTGCAGGAATATTTAGGGGGTTTTGAGCCCCTGATGTATTTTGGGGGTCCCAGGCCCAGGGGGGCTGCAGGAGCTGAGTGAGAAGCAGGTCAGAAATGTTTTGGGGGGTTCAGGAAGGTTTGGGGGTTTCCAGCCCCCTGATGTATTTTGGGGGTCCCAGGCCCAGGGGGCTGCAGGAGCTGAGCGAGGAGCGGGTCGGGAGTGTTTGGGGGTGTTTTGAGCCCCCTGATGTATTTTGGGGGTCCCAGGCCCAGGGGGTTCAGGAGTGTTTGGGGTGTTCCCAGCCCCCTGATGTATTTTGGGGGTCTCAGGCTCAGGGGGCTGCAGGAAGGTTTGGGGGTCCCAGCCCCTGACAGATTTTGGGGGTCTCAGGCTCAGGGGGCTGCAGGAAGGTTTGGGGGTCCCAGCCCCTGACAGATTTTGGGGGTCTCAGGCCCGGGGGCTGCAGGAACTCACTGATGGTTTTGGGGGGTTGGGGGGCTCAGGGGTTCCAGATTTAGGGGGCCTGGATGGTGGGGGTCTCCAGCCCCCTGAACCCCTGACAGATTTTGGGGGGTCCCAGGCCCAGGGGGCTGCAGGAAGGTTTGGGGGTCCCAGCCCCCTGAAAGATTTTGGGGGTCCCAGGCCCAGGGGGCTGCAGGAAGGTTTAGGGGTCCCAGCCCCTGACAGATTTAGGGGGTCTCAGGCCCAGGGGGCTGCAGGAACTCACTGATGGTTTTGGGGGGTTCAGCCCCCTGAAGGATTTGGGGGTCCCAGGCCCGGGGGGCTACAGGAAGGTTTGGGGTCCCCAGCCCCCTGACAGATTTTGGGGGTCCCAGGCCCAGGTGGGGCTGCAGGAAGGTTTGGGGGTCCCAGCCCCCTGACAGATTTTGGGGGGGTCTCAGGCCCAGGGGGTCTGCAGGAACTCACTGATGGTTTGGGGGGGTTGGGGGCTCAGGGGATCAGATTTAGGGGGCTGGATGGTGGGGTCTCCAGCCCTGAACCCCTGACAGATTTTGGGGGGGTTCCCAGGCCCAGGGGGGGCTGCAGGAAGGTTTGGGGGGGTTTCCAGCCCCCCTGATGTATTTTGGGGGTCCCAGGCCCAGAGGGGCTGCAGGAATATTTGAGGGGTTCAGCAAGGTTGGGGGGTTCAGGAGTGTTTTTGGGGTCCCAGGCCCAGGGGGCTGCAGGAAGGTTTGGGGGGGTTCAGGAGTGTTTTTGGGGGTCCCAGGCCCAGGGGGCTGCAGGAAGGTTTGGGGGGTTCAGGAAGGTTTGGGGGTGTTTGAGCCCCCATGACAGGTTTTGGGGGTCCCAGGCCCGGGGGGGGCTGCAGGAGCTGAGTGAGGAGCGGGTCAGGAAGGTTTGGGGTTTTAAGCCCCCGATGTATTTTAGGGGGTCCCAGGCCCAGGGGATTCAGGAAGGTTTGGGGGTCCCAGCCCCTGACAGATTTTGGGGGTCCCAGGCCCAGGGGGTTCAGGAAGGTTTGGGGGTTTTAAGCCCCTGATCAGTATTTTGGGGGTCCCAGGCCCAGGGGGCTGCAGGAGCTGAGGTGAGGAGCGGGTCAGGAAGGTTTGGGGGTTCAGGAGTGTTTGGGGGGTTCAGGAGTGTTTTGGGGGGTTCAGGAGTGTTTTGGGGTCCCAGGCCTAGGGGGCTGCAGGAATATTTGAGGGGTTCAGGAAGGTTTGGGGTGTTTTGAGCCCCCATCACAGGTTTTTAGGGGTCCCAGGCCCGGGGGGGGCTGCAGGAGCTGAGTGAGGAGCGGGTCAGGAGTGTTTTGGGGTGTTTGAGCCCCCGATGTATTTTGGGGTGGTCCCAGGCCCAGGGGAGTTCAGGAAGGTTTGGGGGGTTCAGGAGTGTTTTGGGGGTCCCAGGCCCAGGGGGCTGCAGGAGCTGAGTGAGGCGGGTCAGGAGTGTTTTGGGGGTGTTTTGAGCCCCCGATGTATGTTTAGGGTGGTCCCAGGCCCGGGGGGTTCAGGAAGGTTTGGGGGGTTCAGGAGTGTTTGGGGGTCCCAGGCCCAGGGGGCTGCAGGAGCTGAGTGAGGAGCGGGTCAGGAAGGTTTGGGGGGTCAGGAGTGTTTGGGGGGGTTCAGGAGTGTTTTGGGGTCCCAGGCCCAGGGGGCTGCAGGAAGGTTTGGGGGTTTTAAGCCCCCCCTGATGTATTTTTGGGGGTCCCAGGCCCAGGGGGGGCTGCAGGAAGGTTTGGGGGGGTTCAGGAGTGTTTTTGGGGGTCCCAGGCCCAGGGGGGGCTGCAGGAGCTGAGCGAGGAGCGGGCCAGGAGTGTTTGTGGGGGTTTTTAAGCCTTTCATGACAGGTTTTTGGGGGTCCCAGGCTCAGGGGGGTTCAGGAAGGTTTGGGGGGTGTTTTAAGCCCCCTGAAGGATTTTGGGGGGGGTCCCAGGCCCAGGGGGGGCTGCAGGAGCTGAGTGAGGAGCGGGCGCGGGAGCTGCGCGAGAGCCGCGAGCGGGGGGAGCTCCTGCACTCCCAGCTCCAGGTACGGGGGGGCTTTGGGGGGAGCTTTGGGGGGGCTTTGGAGGGGTTTGGGGGGGCTTTGGGGGGAAATGAGGGGCATTTTGGGGGCTTAGGGGGTTCCTCAGAGGGATTTAGGGGGTCCTGGGGGAAATGGGAGGAAATGGGGGCCATTTTGGGGGCTTGGGGGTCCCCAGAGGGATTTAGGGGGTCTTGGGGGCTTTGGGGGTCCCCAGAGGGGTTGAGGGGGGTCTTGGGGGGGAAATGGGTGCATTTTGGGGGGCTTTGGGGTGTCCTCAGAGGGATTTAGGGGAGTCATGGAGGGGGTTGAGGGTCCTGGAGGGGGTTTGGGGGTCCCAGGGTGGAATTTGGGGGTCCCAGGGTGGGATTTAGGGGTCCCAGGGGGTGAATTTAGGGGGTCTCAGGGTGGGATTTGGGGGTCCCAGGGTGTGATTTTGGGGTCCCAGTGGCTGATCTGGGGTCCCAGAGCCCTGGGGGTTTTGGGGTCCCAGGGTGTGAATTTGGGGGTCCCAGGGTGGGATTTGGGGTCCCAGGGTGGGATTTGGGGGTCCCAGGGTGGGATTTGGGGGTCCCAGGGTGTGAATTTGGGGGTCCCAGTGGCTGATCTAGGGGGTCCCACAGCCCTGGGGGATTTGGGGGTTCCTGAGTGTGAATTTGGGGGTCCCAGGGTGGGATTTGGGGGTCCCAGGGGGTGAATTGGGGGTCCCAGGATGGGATTTGGGGGTCCCAGGGGGTGGGGGTCCCAGGGTGGATTTGGGGGTCCCAGGGTGGATTTTGGCGTCCCAGGGTGGGATTTGGGGGTCCCAGGATGGGTTTAGGGGTTCCAGGGGGTGGATTTGGGGGTCCCAGAGCTCTGGGGAGTTTGGGGGTCCCAGGGTGGAATTTGGGGGTCCCAGGGTGGGATTTGGGGTTCCTGAGTGTGGTTGGGGGTCCCAGGGTGGGATTTGGGGGTCCCAGGGTGGGATTTGGGGGTCCCAGGGTGGAATTTGGGGTCCAGGATGGGATTTGGGGGTCCTGGAGGGGCTTTGGGGGTCCCAGGGTGGGATTTGGGGGTTCCTGGGTGTGAATTTGGGGGTCCCTGGGTGTGAATTTGGGGGTCCCGGGATGGGATTTGGGGGTCCTGGAGGGGCTTTGGGGGTCCCAGGGTGGGATTTGGGGGTCCCAGGGGCTGATCTGGGGGTCCCACAGCCCTGGGGGGTTTGGGGGTCCCCGAGTGTGAATTTGGGGGTCCCAGGGTGTGATTTGGGGGTCCCAGGGTGTGAATTTGGGGGTCCCAGGGTGGGATTTGGGGGTCCCAGTGGCTGATTTTGGTGTCCCAGTGACTGATCTGGGGGTCCCACAGCCTGGGGGGTTTTGGGGGTTCCTGAGTGTGAATTTGGGGGTCCCGGGATGGGATTTGGGGGTCCTGGATGGGCTTTGGGGGTCCCAGGGTGGGATTTGGGGGTCCCTGGGTATGAATTTGGGGGGGTCCCAGGTGGGATTTTGGGGTCCCAGTGGCTGATCTGGAGGTCCCAGAGCCCTGGGGGGGTTTGGGGGTCCCCGAGTGTGAATTTGGGGGTCCCAGGGTGGGATTTGGGGGTCCCAGGGGTGAATTTTGGGGTCCCAGGTGGTGAATTTTGGGGTCCCAGGGGCTGATTTTGGGGGTCCCAGTGGCTGATCCAGGGGTCCCACAGCTCTGGGGGGTTTTGGGGGTCCCTGAGTGTGGATTTGGGGGTCCCAGGGTGGGATTTGGGGGTCCCAGGGTGGGATTTGGGGGTCCCGGGGGGCATTTTGGGGGTCCCTGGGGCTGATTTGGGGGTCCCAGTGGCTGATCCAGGGGTCCCACAGCTCTGGGGGGTTTTGGGGGTCCCTGAGTGTGAATTTGGGGGTCCCAGGGTGGGATTTGGGGTCCCAGGGTGGGATTTGGGGGTCCCAGGGGGTGACTTTGGGGGTCTCTCCCAGGTGGTCTCGGGGGAGCGGGAGCAGCTCCGGCTCCGCTTGGACGAGGCTGAGGCTGCCCAGGTAAAAACAAAACCCCAAAACCCCAGGACCCCTGGGACCCCGGGGGTTTGGGGGTCCCCCTGGGCTCTGGGGGGGTCTCCCCTGTCTTGGGGACCCCCAAATTTGGGTGTTCCCAGGAGAAGCTGCAGCGGCTGCAGGAGGAGCTGGAGCAGAACCGGGCTAGCTCGAGGTCAGGGGGATTTTGGGGGTCCTGGGGGCATTTGGGGGTCTGGGGTGGTCTCTGGGGGGCCTGGGGGAGTTTGGGGGGTCCTGGGGGGGTTTGGGGGGGTCTTGGGGGGGTCCTGAGGGAGGTTTGGGGAGTTCTGGGCAGACTGGGAGGGGTCCTGGGGCAGCTTGACGTCAGAGGGGGATTTTGGGGGGAGTTTGGGGGATTTTGGGGGGGTTTGGAGGGTCCTGAGGGTGTTTGGGGGGTCTTGAGGGTCCTGGGAGGAATTTGGGGGGTCCTGGGGGTTTGGGGGGTGTTGGGGGGTCTGAGGGGTTTTGGGGGGTTCTGGGCAGACTGGGAGGGGTCCTGGGGGCAGCTCGAGGTCGGGGAATTTTTGGGGGAGGTGGGGGGTCCTGGGAAAATCTGGGGGGGTCTTGGGGGGTCCTGGGGAATTTTGGGGTGTCCTGGCAAAGTTTGGGGGTCCTGGGGAGATTGGGAAATTTGGGGGGGGATTTGGGGGCTGCCTTGGGAGCTCAAGGGTTGTGGGACCCCCAAAAAGGGGGTCTGGGGTCTTTGGGACCCCCAAAAAGGGGCTGTGAGACCCCAGAAAGAGGTCTGGGGGTCTTTGGGATCTGCAAAGGGGTGTGGGGCCTGTGGGACCCCCCCAAAAACGCCCCCCGTGCCCCCCCAGGCCCGGCTGGGGGAGGAGCAGCGACTGAGGGAGCTGCACGAGGGGGAGGCCAAGGCCCTGAGACAGGTGGGACCCCCAAAATACCCCCCAAAATACCCCAAATCCACCCCAAAAATATCCCCAGAGCCCTCAGACAGGTGGGACCCCAAAATCCCCCAAAATACCCCAAATATCCAAAATCCACCCCAAAATATCCCCCAAAGGCCCTGAGACAGGTGGGACCCCCAAAATCCCCCCCCAAAATACCCCAAATCCACCCTAAAACATCCCCAAAATATCCCCAAGGCTCTCAAACAGGTGGGACCCCGAAATACCCCCAAATACCCTAAAATGTCCAAAATCCACCCCAAAATCCCCCCAAAGTCTTCAGACAGGTGGGACCCCCAAAATACCCCCAAAATATCCAAAATCCACCCCAAAATATCCCCCCAGAGCCCTGAGACAGGTGGGACCCCCAAAATACCCCCCCAAATACCCCTAAAATATCCAAAATCCACCCCAAAATCCCCCCAAAGTCTTCAGACAGGTGGGACCTCCAAAATCCCCCCCAAAATAACCCAAATCCACCCTAAAACATCCCCAAAATATCCCCCCAAAGTCTTTAAACAGGTGGGACCCCCAAAATACCCCCTAAAATACACCCCAAAATAACCCAAATCCACCCCAAAATATCCCCCAGGACTCTCAGACAGGTGGGACCCCCAAAATCCCCCCCAAAATCCCCCCAAAATCCCCCAAATCCACCCCAAAATATCCCCCCAGAGCCCTGAGACAGGTGGGACCCCAAAATCCCCCCAAAATACCCCAAATCCACCCTAAAACATCCCCAAAATATCCCCCAAGGCTCTCAAACAGGTGGGACCCCAAAGTCCCCCAAAATCCCCCAAAGTCTTCAGATAGGTGGGACCCCAAAATACCCCAAAATATCCCAAATCCACCCCAAAACATCCCCTCAAGGCCCTCAGACAGGTGGGACCCCAAAATCCCAAAATCCCCCCAAAATATCCAAAATCCACCCAAATACCCCCAAAGTCTTCAGACAGGTGGGACCCCCAAAATCCCCCCAAAATACCCCAAATCCACCCTAAAACATCCCCAAAATATCCCCCAAGGCTCTCAAACAGGTGGGACCCCCAAAATACCCCCCCAAATACCTCTAAAATATCCAAAATCCACCCCAAAACATCCCCCCAAGGCCTTCAGACAGGTGGGACCCCCCAAATCCCCCCAAAATATCCCAAATCCACCCCAAAATCCCCCCAAAATATCCAAAATCCACCCCAAAGTATCCCAAATCCACCCCAAAATCCCCCCAAAATATCCAAAATCCACCCCAAAACATCCCCCCAAGGCCTTCAGACAGGTGGGACCCCCCAAATCCCCCCAAAATATCCCAAATCCACCCCAAAGTATCCCAAATCCACCTCAAAATATCCCCAAAATATACCCCAAAAATATCTCTTGGGGTTCTCAGACAGGTGGGACCCCCAAAATCTCCCAAAAATACCCCAAAATACCCCCAAAAATATCCTTCAGGATCCTCAGACAGGTGGGACCCCCAAAATCCCCCCAAACCCCTCCTGACCCCCAAGCCCTCCTGGACCCCCAAACCCTCCTAGGACCACCCAAAGCCCCCGGACCCCCAAAATCCTTCTGTGACCCCCCAAACCCCCTGACCCCCAACCTTTGCCAGGACCCCCAAGCCCCTCCCGGTCCCTCAAAATTCCCCAGGACACCTCCAGAACACCCCAAACCCCTCTGACCCCAACACTCCCAGGACTCCTCAAGCCCCCGACCCCCAAACCCCTATGACCCCAAACCCCCAGGACCCCCAAGCCCCTGACCCCCAACCTTTGCCCAGGACCCCCAGCCCCTCCCTGGTCCTCAAGAATTCCCCCAGGACACCTCCACAACACCCCAAACCCCTCTGACCCCAAAGCACCCCAGGACTCCTCAACCCCTCCCCAAACCCCCAAACCCCCAGGACCCCCAAACCCCCTGACCCCCAGAATTCCCCAGGAGCTGAGGGACGTGCGGGACGGGCAGCGCATCCTGGAGAAGAAGGGCAGCCGCTGCGGTGAGGAGGGGGCTCAAGAGGGTCTGGAGGTCAAGACCTGCCCGTCTCAAGGGGTCCCTGAGCCCCAAACCCCCTGAGCCCCCAAAAGTCCCCCTTCCCCAGCTGAAGGACCTGCGGCGGCAGCTGCAGGAGGAGCGGCGCCGGGGATCGGCTGCAGGAGCGGCTGCAGGGGCTGCTGGCGCCCAGCAGGGCCCGATCCGGGTGGGATTTGGGGGTCCTCAGGGGTGGGGGTCCCTCGAGGTCGGGGGTCCCCCAACTCAGGGGTCCCCAAGGGTTTGGGGGTTTTTGGGTGTTGGGGTCAAGGGGGTTTGGGGTGGGTGTTGAGGCACTGGGGTTTGATGGGGTTTGGGGAGTCCTGGGGGTTTAGGGGAGTTTAGGGATTTTGGGGGGTTCTAGGGAGTCCCCAGGGTGAGGGGGTCCCTCGGGGGTGGGGGTTCCCACAGCTCAGGGGTCCCCAAGGGTTTGGGGGTTTCTGGGTGTTGGGGTCCAAGGGGGTTTGGGGTGGGAGTTCAGGCACCGGGTTCCTGCAGGGTCCTGGGGGTTTAGGGGAGTTTGGGGGATTTGGGGGGGTCCCAGGGGTCCCCAGGGTGGGAGGGGTCCCTCGGGGTCGAGGGGTCCCCACAGCTCAGGGGTCCCTAAGGGTTTGGGGGTTTTTGGGTGTTGGGGTCCCAGGGGGTTTGGGAGGTACCGGAGTCACTGGGGTTTGCAGGGATCCTGGGGGCTTTGGGGGAGTTTGGGGGATTTGGGGTCCTGGGGGTCCCTAGGGTGGGAGGTCCCTCGGGGTCAGGGGGTCCCCACAGCTCAGAGGTCCCCAAGGGTTTGGGGGTTTTGGGTGTTGGGGTCCAAGGGGGTTTGGGGTGGGAGTTCAGGCACCGGGTTCCTGCAGGGTCCTGGGGGGTTTAGGGGAAGTTTGGGGGATTTTGGGGGGTTTTGGGGGTCCCGGGGTGGGAGGGGTCCCGTCGGGGGTCGGGGGTCCCCACAGCTCAGGGGTCCCCAAGGGTTTAGGGGTTTTTGGGTGTTGGGGTCCAAGGGGGTTTGGGGAGGTACCAGAGTCACTGGGGTTTGATGGGGTTTGGGATAATCTAGGGGGTTTAGGGGGAGTTTGGGGGTTTGGGGGGTCCCAGGGGTCCTCGGGGTTGGGGGGTCCCTCGAGGGTCGGGGGTCCCCACAGCTCGGGGGTCCCCAAGGGTTTGGGGTTTTTGGGTGTTGGGGTCCGAGGGGGTTTGGGGTGGGAGTTCAGGCACCGGGTTCCTGCAGGGTCCTGGGGGTTTAGGGGAGTTTGGGGGATTTGGGGGGTCCTGGGGGTCCCCGGGGTGGGAGGGTCCCTCGGGGGCCAGGAGGGTCCCCACAGCTCAGGGGGTCCCCAAGGGTTTGGGGTTTTGGGTGTTGGGGTCCAAGGGGGCTTGGGGAGGTACCGGAGTCACTGGTGTTTGATGGGGTTTGGGAATCCTGGGGGTTTAGGGGGATTTGGGGGGTCCCAGAGGGTCCCCAGGTTTGGGGGTCCCTCGGGGTCAGGGGCTCCCCACAGCTCAGGGGTCCCCAAGGGTTTGGGGGTTTTTGGGTGTTGGGGTCCAAGGGGGTTTGGGGAGGTACCGGAGTCACTGGGGTTTGATGGGGTTTGGGAATCCTGGGGGGTTTAGGGGATTTGGGGGGGTCCCAGAGGGTCCCTGGGTTTGGGGGTCCCTCGGGGGGTAGGGGGTCCCCACAGCTCAGGGGTCCCCAAGGGTTTGGGGGTTTTTGGGTGTTGGGGTCCAAGGGGGTTTGGGGTGGAAGTTCAGGCACCGGGTTCCTGCAGGGTCCTGGGGGTTTAAGGGGGGTTTGGGGGGATTTGGGGGGTCCCAGAGGGTCCCTGGGTTTGGGGGGTCCCTCGGGGGCGGGGGTCCCCACAGCTCAGGGGTCCCCAAGGGTTTGGGGGTTTTGGGTGTTGGGGTCCAAGGGGGTTTGGGGTAGAAGTTCAGGCACTGGGTTCCTGCAGGGTCCTGGGGGTTTAAGGGGAGTTTGGGGGGATTTGAGGGGATTTGGGGGTCTTTGGGGTCCAGGGGGTCCCTTGGGGGTGGGGGTCCCCACAGTTTGGGGGGGTCCCACTGGGTGTCCCTGGGTTGTTTTTGGGGTCCCCCCTGCCTGTTTGTCCCCCCCAGGGCTGGAGGAGCTGGGGTTGGACAGGGGGTCCCTGGGGGGATTTTTGGGGGGTCCCTGGATGGATTTTGGGGTCCCTGGGGGGGTTTTGGAGGTCCCTGGGTGTGTTTTGGGGTCCCCCCTGACTGTCCCCCCCAGGGCTGGAGGAGCTGGGGTTGGACGGGGGGGGTCCCTGGATGGATTTTGGGGTCCCTGGGTGGTTTTTGGGGGTCCCTGGATGGATTTTTGGGGTCCCTGGGGGTATTTGGGGGGTCCCTGGGTGGTTTTTGGGGGTCCCTGGGTGGTTTTTGGGGTCCCTGGGTGGTTTTTGGGGTCCCCCCTGACTGTTTGTCCCCCCCAGAGCTGGAGGAGCTGGGGTTGGACGGGGGGTCCCTGAGGGTTTTGGGTCCCCAGGGCTGGATGGAGCTGGGGTTGGAGGAGTCCCTGGGGGTATTTGGGGGTCCCTGGATGGATTTTGGGGTCCCTGGATGGATTTTGGGGTCCCTGGATGGATTTTGGGGGTCCCTGGGTGGTTTTTGGGGTCCCCCCTGACTGTTTGTCCCCCCCAGGGCTGGAGGAGCTGGGGTTGGACGGGGGGTCCCTGGATGGATTTTTGGGGGGTCCCTGGATGGATTTTGGGGTCCCTGGGTGGTTTTGGAGGTCCCTGGGTAGGTTTTGGGGTCCCCCCTGACCCCGTGTCCCCCCCAGGGCTGGAGGAGCTGGGGTTGGACGGGGGGTCCCTGGATGGATTTTGGGGGTCCCTGGATGGATTTTTGGGGTTCCCTGGATGGATTTTGGGGTCCCTGGATGGATTTTTGGGGTCCCCCCTGACTGTGTCCCCCCCAGGGCTGGAGGAGCTGGGGTTGGACGAGGGGTCCCTGGATGGATATTTGGGGGTCCCTGGATGGATTTTGGGGTTCCTGGGGGATTTTGGGGTCCCTGGGTAGTTTTGGGGTCCCCTGACTGTTTGTCCCCCAGGGCTGGAGGAGCTGGGGTTGGACGGGGTGTTTGGGGTCCCTGGATGGATTTTGGGTCCCTGCTGCTCCCTGGGATGGAGTTTGGGTTGGACGGTTCCTGGGTGGATTTTGGGGTCCCTGGATGGTTTTGGGGTCCCTGGGTGGTTTTAGGGTCCCCTGACCCGTGTCCTCCAGGGCTGGAGGAGCTGGGGTTGGACGGGGGGGTCCCTGGATGGATTTTTGGGGGTCCCTGGATGGATTTTTGGGAGTCCCCCAGGGCTGGAGGAGCTGGGGTTGGACGGGGGGTCCCTGGATGGATTTTGGGGGTCCCTGGATGGATTTTTGGGGTTCCTGGAGGGATTTTTGGGGTCCCTGGGTGGTTTTTGGGGTCCCTGGGTGGTTTTGGGGTCCCCTGACTGTGTCCCCCAGGGCTGGAGGAGCTGGGGTTGGACGGGGGTCCCGGGCGGGGTCCGGGGGCGATGGCAGCTCCGTGTCCCCGCTGGGCCGCGGCAGCTCCGCCCCCGGCAGCACCAAGGTGGGCGTGGCCTCGTGGAGGGGGCGGGGCCTGGGTGGGTGTGGCTTGGGTGGGTGTGGCCTTCAAGGGTGTGGCTTTAAAGGGTGTGGCTTTAAAAGGGTGTGGCTTTGGGGGTTGGCTCTAAATGGGGTGTGGCTTTAAGGGCTGTGGTTTTGAGGGGCGTGGCTTTGGGGGTGTGGCCTAGGTGGGTGTGGCTTCAAAAGGGTGTGGCCTAAAGGGTCTGGGCTTATGGATGTGGCTGTAAGAGGGTGTGGCTTGGAAGGTTGGGTTTTGGGGTGTGGCTTTAATGGGTGTGGCTTTAAATGGGTGTGGCTTGAAAGGGTTTGGGTTTTGGGGTGTGGCTTTTAAGGGGTTTGGCTTCAGGGGGTGTGGTTTTGATGGGTGTGGTTTTTAAGGGGTGTGGTTTTGATGGGTGTGGTTTTTAAGGGGTGTGGTTTTGATGGGTGTGGTTTTTAAGGGGTGTGGTTTTGATGGGTGTTGCTTAAAGGGGTTTGGGTTTAGGGGTGTGGCTTTTAAGGGGTGTGGCTTCAAGGGGTGTGGGTTTAATGGGTGTGGCTTTTAAGGGGTGGGGTTTCAATAGGTGTGGCTTAAAGGGGTTTGGTTTTAGGGGTGTGGCTTTGAAGGGGTGTGGTTTTAATGGGTGTGGGTTTAATGGGTGTGGCTTAAATGGGTGTGGTTTTAATGGGTGTGGCTTGAAAGGGTTTGGGGTGTGGCTTTTAAGGGGTGTGGCTTTAATGGGTGTGGCTTTAAATGGGTGTGGCTTTAATGGGTGTGGCATAGGGTTTGGGTTCAGGGGTGTGGCTTTGAAGGGGTGTGGCTTTGATGGATGTGGCTTTAAGGGGTGGGATTTTAGTGGGTGTGGCTTGTAAAGGGTGTGGTTTTAAGGGGTGTGGCTTTGGGGGGGTGGCTTCAAAGGGGTGTTGTCTAAACAGTTTGAGTTTGGGGTGTGGCTTAGGTGAGTGTGGCTTCAAAGGGGTGTGGCCTAAAGGGTTTGGGCTTAGGGGTTGGGGCTTGAAAGGGTTTGGGTTCAGGGGTGTGGCTTTAATGGGTGTGGCTTAAAGGGGTGTGGCCTTAAGGGGTTTGGGTGCAGGGGTGTGGCTTTAAAAGGGGTGTGGCTTTAAATGGGTGTGGCTTTAAAGGGGTGTGGCCACACCACTATGACCTCAAAGGCTGTGACCTTTTCATGGGTGTGGCTTCACCTGGAGGCGAAGGGGGCGTGGTTTGGCCTTCCCAAACCACTCCCCTCTCTCTGACTCCACCCCTTTCTCCTCCTCCCCAGTCGGGGTCGGGCAGCCCCGGGGGCGGCAGCGCCGGGGGTCCCGGGGGGTTTGTCCCCAGCTGAGGTGGCCGAGCTGTTCCAGCGGCTGGCCCAGAGCCAGCAGGAGAGATGGCTGCTGAGGAGAAGGTACTGGGGTCTGGGGGGCCTGGGGGCTCAGGGGTCCTGGGGGTCCTGGGGGTCATGGGGGCTCAGGGGATATGGGGGCTTGGGGGTCCTGGGGTCTGAGCTGTTCCAGCGGCTGGCCCAGAGCCAGCAGGAGAGATGGCTGCTCGAGGAGAAGGTACTGGGGGTCCTGGGGGGTCCTGGGGGTCCTGGGGGTCCTGGGGGGCTCAGGGGGTCTGAGCTGTTCCAGCGCCTGGCCCAGAGCCAGCAGGAGAGATGGCTGCTCGAGGAGAAGGTACTGGGGGGTCTGGGGGTCCTGGGGATCCTGGGGTCCTGGGGGCTCAGGGGTCTGAGCTGTTCCAGCGGCTGGCCCAGAGCCAGCAGGAGAGATGGCTGCTCGAGGAGAAGGTACTGGGGGTCTGGGGGCTTGGGGGTCCTGGGGGGCTCAGAGGGTCTGAGCTGTTCCAGCGCCTGGCCCAGAGCCAGCAGGAGCGATGGCTGCTCGAGGAGAAGGTACTGGGGGGTCCTGGGGGGCCTGGGGGTCCTGGGGTCCTGGGGGTCCTGGGGGTCCTGGGGGTCTGAGCTGTTCCATCGGCTGGCCAGAGCCAGCAGGAGCGGTGGCTGCTTGAGGAGAAGGTACTGGGGATCCTGGGGGGTCCTGGGGTCCTGGGGGTCCTGGGGGCCAGGGGATATGGGGGGCTCGGGGGTTCAGGGGGTCTGAGCTGTTCCAGCGGCTGGCCCAGAGCCAGCAGGAGCGGTGGCTGCTCGAGGAGAAGGTACTGGGGTCCTGGGGGTCCTGGGGGCTTGGGGGTCCTGGGGGGCTCAGGGGTCCTGGGGGTCCTGGGGGCTCCAGGGGTCTGAGCTGTTCCAGCGGCTGGCCCAGAGCCAGCAGGAGAGATGGCTGCTCGAGGAGAAGGTACTGGGGGTCTGGGGGCTTGGAGGGGTCCTGGGGGCTCAGAGGGTCTGAGCTGTTCCAGCGCCTGGCCCAGAGCCAGCAGGAGCGGTGGCTGCTCGAGGAGAAGGTACTGGGGGTCCTGGGGGTCCTGGGGCTCCTGGGGGGCTCAGGGGGTCCTGGGGGGCTCAGGGGGTCTGAGCTGTTCCAGCGGCTGGCCCAGAGCCAGCAGGAGAGATGGCTGCTCGAGGAGAAGGTACTGGGGGTCCTGGGGGTTCTGGGGGTCCTGGGGGCTCAGGGGGTCCTGGGGGCTCCAGGGGATGAGGGGGCTCAGGGGTCTGAGCTGTTCCAGCGCCTGGCCCAGAGCCAGCAGGAGCGGTGGCTGCTCGAGGAGAAGGTACTGGGGCCTGGGGGTCCTGGGGGTCCTGGGGGGTCCTGGGGGCTCAGGGGCTCAGGGGATATGGGGGTCTCAGGGGGTCTGAGCTGTTCCAGCGCCTGGCCCAGAGCCAGCAGGAGAGATGGCTGCTCGAGGAGAAGGTACTGGGGGGCCTGGGGGGTCCTGGGGGGCTCAGGTTTGGGCGTGATCTCACCTGTGCTGGCACCTGTCCCCAGGTGAGGCACCTGGAGGTGTCGAGCGCCTCCATGGCCGAGGATCTGTGTCGGAAAAGCGCCATCATCCAGAGCTTCGTGAGGGACAGCAGGCTTGGTGAGACCCCTGAGACCCCTCACCTGTCCTACCTGTCACACCTGTCACACCTGTCCCACCTGTCCTGTCACACCTTTCACACCTGTCCTACCTCACCTGTCACACCTGTCACACCTGTCTGACCTCACCTGTCCTACCTCACCTGTCACACCTGTGCCCCTCCCCTGCCATCATCCAGAGCTTTGTGAGGGACAGCAGGCTTGGTGAGACCCCTGAGACCCCTCACCTGTCACACCTGTCCTGTCCTGTCACACCTGTCATACCTGTCCTGTCACACCTTTCACACCTGTCCTACCTGTCCTGTCCTGTCACACCTGTCCCACCTGTCCTGTCCTACCTCACCTGTCCCACCTGTGCCCCTCCCCTGCCATCATCCAGAGCTTTGTGAGGGACAGCAGGCTTGGTGAGACCCCTTTACCTGTCCTACCTGTCCTGTCCTGTCACACCTGTCCTGTCCTACCTCACCTGTCACACCTGTTCCACCTGTGTCCCCTCCCTGCCATCATCCAGAGCTTTGTGAGGGACAGCCGGCTCGGTGAGATCCCCAGGACCCCTCACCTGTCCTGTCACACCTGTCACACCTGTCCTACCTGTCCTGTCACACCTTTCACACCTGTCCTACCTCACCTGTCACACCTGTCACACCTGTCTGACCTCACCTGTCCTACCTCACCTGTCACACCTTTCCCCCTCCCCTGCCATCATCCAGAGCTTTGTGAGGGACAGCAGGCTCGGTGAGACCCCTTACCTGTCCTGTCACACCTGTGCTACCTGTACCTTCACCTGTCCTGTCTTATCTCACCTGTCCCCTCCCCTGTCTCTTACTTGGCTCACCTGTTCTTTCTTGTCCCTCCCCCATCTCCCCTGTCCCTCCCATCTCCCCTGTCCCTCCCCCATCTCCCCTGTCCCTCCCCCATCCCTCCCCCATCTCCCTGTCCCTCCCCTATCCCCTCCCCATCTCCCCTGTCCCTCCCCATCCCTCCCCATCTCTCCTCTCTCCCCTACCTCCCTCTCCCCCATCATCTCCCCTGTCCCTATCACCTGTCCTCCCATCTCCCCTGTCCCTCCCCTGTCCTCCCCCTCTCCCCTGTCCCTCTCCCCATCCCCCTGACGTGTCCCCCAGAGGCCGTGCCCCCGGTCTCCGCTCGCCGGAGGCAGCGGGAGGAGGAGGGCTGCGGAAGATGAACAAGAAGCTGCAGAACCTTCTGGAAGAGCAGCTCACCAAGAACCTGCACCTGGCACAGGTCAGGGGGCGGGAGCCTCACCTGGGGCACGCTGGCACTAGGGGAGTACTGGGAGTGCTGGGGGTCACTGGGAGCACTGGGAGCTCACTGGGAGTGCTGGGAGGTTACTGGGAGTGCTGGGGGTCACTGGGAGCACTGGGGGGTCACTGGGAGTGCTGAGGGGGTCACTGGGGGTCACTGGGAGCGCTGGGGGGGTCACTGGGGGTCACTGGGAGCGCTGGGGGGTCACTGGGGAGTCACTGGGAGCACTGGGGTCTGGAGTACTGGGAGTCACTGGGCACTGGGGCACTGGGAGCATTGGGGGTTACTGGGAGCACTGGGGGATTACTGGGAGGCGCTGGGGGTCACTGGGAGCATTGGGGGTTACTGGGAGCACTGGGGGATTACTGGGAGCGCTGGGGGTCACTGGGAGCATTGGGGGGGTTACTGGGAGCACTGGGGGGATTACTGGGAGCGCTGGGGGAGTCACTGGGTAGCACTGGGGAGGTCACTGGGCATTACTGGGAGTTATTTGGAGGGTCACTGGGAGCACTGGGAGGGTTACTGAGGAGTCACAGCGCTGGGGGGTCACTGGGAGCACTGGGGGGGGTCACTGGGCAGCACTGGAGGGGTTACTGGGATGACTGGGGGGGTCACTGGGAGTTACTTGGAAGGCCATTGGGGTGCCCTCTGATCCCCCCCTTCCCCCTGCCCAGGACCTGGAGTTGCTGTCCCAGGAACTGGCCCAGCTCAGGAAGGACCAAACGGCCCCCCCGGGACCCCCGTGAGGGGCGGGGCCATCTCCGCCTGGGGGCGGGGCCTCTCCCCATCGCTCCGCCCCCCTCGCGCCACAGGCCCCACCCCGGCGGGGGGCTCTGCTTTGGGGGTGGCATTGCCCCTTTAAGGGGGGTCCCGCTGTGGCATCGCCCTTTTAAGGTGGCGACGGTTCCTATTGTGGCTTTACCCCTTTAAGGAGCCCCCAGGAGGGCATCGCCCTTTTAAGACAGCGGTGGTCCCCACCCTGGTGTTGCCTCTTTAAGACGGATGGAGGGAGTGATCTCTTTGACGTTGCCCCTTTAAGACGCGGGCGGTCCCCTCAGAGCGCCGTTGCCCCTTTAAGAACGGGTTGAGCTCCTCCCCTTCGGGCGTTGCCCCTTTAAGGCGGGTTTGGACCCTCGCTTGGTGTTGCCCCTTTAAGGCGGTCGCTGTTCCCCTCTCGTGCCGTTGCCCCTTTAAGGGGTGGGGGTCCCGCATGCGCCCACCCCCAATAAACGAACCCGATCCGCTCTCTGTGACGTCATTGTTCGAGGAGGGGCGGGGCGTGGTCTCGGCGGTGACGTCACTTCCCCTCGGTGCCCCGGATGTTGTTCTGGGGCCGCGGCCGCGGGGACGGGGCTCGTTCGGCGCCTCCGCGGCCGCTCCGGATCCTGCCCGGCCCCGCGAGGGGGGCGGGGGGCGCGGCGTGACGTCAGCACGGTGACGTAACAACCGCTTCTCTGGCCGGGGGGAGGGGAGGGAAAACCCCAAAACGCCCCCCGAAAACTCCCCCCGATTCTCCCCCCAAGAAACCTCCGGGCCCCCCCCAACATGGCGGCGACCGCGGGGGGCGGGGCCTCGCCGGGGGGCGGGGCCTCGCTGGAGGAGGAGTGCGAGGTTGTGCGCGTGCGCGTCAAGGTGAGAGGGCGTGGCTTTGAGCGGGCGGGGTGGGCGTGGTTACCTGGAGAGGGCGCGGCCTCCGCGTTGAGAGACCCCAGAGGGTCTTTGGGGTGGGGAGAGGGGCGTGGTAATGTGGAAGGGGTCACGTGGGGCACGGTGGCCAATCAGCAGCGCTGGGGGCGTGGCCTCGGGGGTGGGCGACGGCGGGAGATTTTCCCGCCGCTGGGGTCACGTGGGCGCCGGCGGCCAATCGGTGTCGTGGGTTTGGGCGGGAAGCACACGCGGTTGCCATGGCGACGGGGCCGCGCCGCCATCTTGTGCCGTCGTGAGGGGCTGGGGGGCTCCGGGATCCCCCCGGGCCCCCCCTGATGCTCCCCCCGCAGAAGAGCGAGGGGCAGCAGCCCCCCGAGTTCCGCTCCTTCGCCGTGGACCCCCAGATCACGTCGCTGGACGTGCTGCAGCACATCCTGGCCCGCGCCTTCGACCTGCAGGGGTGAGACCCCCCGGGACCCCCCTGCACTGAGTCCCCCTGACTGCCCCAACCCCCCCAGGCACCACTGTGGGACCCATCAGGACCTCCCTGAACACACCTGGGATCCCTTGGATACACCTGGGACCCCTTGGATACACCTGGGACCCCTCTGGACACACCTGGGACCCCTTGGATACACCTGGGACCCACTCAAACACATTTGGGACCCCTTGCAGGCCCCCCTCAGGACATCCCCAAGCCCACCAGACCCCCCTGGACACACCTGGGACCCCCCTGAATCCCCCACAGACACACCTGGGACCCCTATGGGAACCCTTTGGGACCCCCTTGGACATGCCTGAGATCCCCTCAGAGACACCTGGAACCCCCCTGGGCACATCCAGGAGCCCTTTGGGACCCCTTGGGACCCCTTTGGACACACCTGGGGCCCCCCTGGACCCCCCTTGGGACCTCCCCCCAGAACCTCCCTGAACTCACCTGGGACTTCTCTGGACCCTTCAGACGCACCTGGAACCCCCCACACACACCTGAGACCCCCCACTGGGCACACCTGGGACCTTCCAGATACACTTGGGACCCCCTTCAGGACCCCCCTGACACACCTGGGACCCCTCAGGACCCACCTGAATCCCCCTTGGACACATCCATGACCCCCCCAGACCCTCCCCAGCCCCACCTGTGACCCCCTGACCCACCTGGGACCCCCAGCCGTACCTGCCCCCTCAGGTGCCCCCCTTTGCCCCCCCAGGAAGAAAAGCTTCTCGCTGAGCTTCGCCGCCCGGGACGGGCAGGGCCAGGACACCTTTGTGCCCCTGCTGAGCGACAGTGACCTGGTGACAGCGTTCACCTGGGCCAGGCCCACCCTCAGGCTGCGGCTGGACGTCAGGAACCCACCTGACAGTGAGTCACGCACCTGGGGGGGTTAAACACAACACCTGGGGGGGAAAACACACCTGGGACACACCTGGGACACCCCTTCACCTGGGCCAGGCCCACCCTCAGGCTGCGGCTGGACGTCAGGAACCCACCTGACAGTGAGTCACACACCTGGGGGCACCTGGGGGAAAACACACACCTGGGGAAACACACCTAGGACACACCTGGGACACCCCTTCACCTGGGCCAGGCCCACCCTCAGGCTGCGGCTGGACGTCAGGAACCCACCTGACAGTGAGTCACACACCTGGGGGGCACCTGGGGGGGGAAAACACACACCTGGGGGGGGTTAAACACACCTGGGGGGGTAAAACACACCTGGGACGTACCTGGTGACGGCGTTCACCTGGGCCAGGCCCACCCTCAGGCTGCGGCTGGACGTCAGGAACCCACCTGACAGTGAGTCACACACCTGGGGGCGGTAAAACACACCTGGGGGGTTAAAACACACCTGGGACACCCCTTCACCTGGGCCAGGCCCACCCTCAGACTGCGGCTGGACGTCAGGAACCCACCTGACAGTGAGTCACACACCTGGGGGGGTTAAAACACACCTGGGGGGGGTAAAACACACCTGGGGGGGGTAAAACACACCTTCACCTGGGCCAGACCCACCCTCAGGCTGCGGCTGGACGTCAGGAACCCACCTGAGAGTGAGTCACACACCTGGGGGGTTAAACACACCTGGGGCGTTAAAACACACCTGGGGGGGGAAAACACACACCTGGGCCAGCCCTTCACCTGGGCCAGGCCCACCCTCAGGCTGCGGCTGGACGTCAGGAACCCACCTGACAGTGAGTCACACACCTGGGGGGGGTAAAACACAACACCTGGGGGGGTAAAACACACACCTGGGGGGGTAAAACACAACACCTGGGGGGGTAAAACACACCTGGGACACACCTGGGACACCCCTTCACCTGGGCCAGGCCCACCTTCAGGCTGCGGCTGGACGTCAGGAACCCACCTGACAGTGAGTCACACACCTGGGGGGGGGTTAAACACACCTGGGGGGCGTTAAAACACACCTGGGACACACCTGGGACACCCCTTCACCTGGGCCAGGCCCACCCTCAGGCTGTGGCTGGACATGGGGAACCCACCTGACAGTGAGTCACACACCTGGGGGGCACCTGGGGGGGAAAACACACACCTGAGGGGGGTAAAACACCCCTTCACCTGGGCCAGGCCCACCCTCAGGCTGCGGCTGGATGTCAGGAACCCACCTGACAGTGAGTCACACACCTGGGGGGTTAAAACACACACCTGGGGGAGTAAAACTCACACCTGGGGGGGGAAAACACACACCTGGGGGGGAAAAACACACCTGGGACACACCTGGGACACCCCTTCACCTGGGCCAGGCCCACCCTCAGACTGCAGCTGGACATCAGGAACCCACCTGACAGTGAGTCACACACCTGGGGGGGGAAAACACACACCTGGGGGACACCTGGGACAGACCTGGGGGGTTAAAACACACACCTGGGACACACCTGGGAGGGTAAACACACTTGGGACACACCTTGGGGGGAAAAACACACCTGGGACGCACCTTTACCTGGGCCAGGCCCACCCTGAGACTGGGCGTGGATGTCAGGAACCCACCTGGGAGTGAGTCACACACCTGGGGGGCACCTGGGGGGGGTAAAACACACCTGGGGGGGGAAAACACACCTGGGACACACCTGAGGGGTTAGAACAAAGCTGGGACACTCCTGAGGTGCACACACCTAGTCTCAGCTGCCTGGGTGGGTTCCAGGTGCCCAGGTGGGTGCCCAGGTGGGGTCTCAGGTGCCCAGGTGAGGTCTCAGGTGCCCTGTCCCCGTGCCAGGCCCGCTGCTGGAGGACTGGGACATCATCAGCCCGCGGGACGTGGGGGTGGCTCAGGGGGGGTCCCAGGTGCCCAGGTGGGGGTCAGGCGGATCCCAGGTGCCCAGGTGGGTGCCCAGGTGTGGTCTCAGGTGCCCTGTCCCCGTGCCAGGCCCGCTGCTGGAGGACTGGGACATCATCAGCCCGCGGGAGGAGGGAGTGGCTCAGGGGGGTCCCAGGTGCCCAGGTGGGGCTCAGGGGGGTCCCAGGTGCCCAGGTGGGTTCAGGGGGATCCCAGGTGCCCAGGTGGGTGCCCAGGTGAGGTCTCAGGTGCCCTGTCCCCGTGCCAGGCCCGCTGCTGGAGGACTGGGACATCATCAGCCCGCGGGAGGAGGGGGTGGCTCAGGGGGGTCCCAGGTGCCCAGGTGGGGGTCAGGGGGATCCCAGGTGCCCAGGTGAGGTCTCAGGTGCCCAGGTGGGGTCTCAGGTGCCCAGGTGAGGTCTCAGGTGCCCTGTCCCCGTGCCAGGCCCGCTGCTGGAGGACTGGGACATCATCAGCCCGCGGGAGGTGGCGGCGGCCGAGCCGGTGCCGGAGCGTCGGTCGCTGCTGGCGGCGGCTCTGCCCTTCACACAGGCCCTGCTGGCACAGGTGAGGCTCACCTGGCACACCTGGGTGGTGCAGGGAGAGTGGGGGTCCTACCTGGCACAGGTGAGGCTCACCTGGCACACCTGGAGCACACCTGGGAGTGGAGGGGGGCATACCTGGCATGGAGGGGGAGGGTGGGGGCACACCTGGCACAGGTGGGGCACACCTGGCACGGGTGGGGCACACCTGGGTGCTGAAAGGGATCTTGGGGCCCCCAGTGCCCTCCCAGTGCCCCCCAGTGCCAGGTTCCCTGCTTCCCACAGGTGGGCCGGACCTGGCTCGGGCCCAGGCGGCTCTGGCGTGGCCCGAGGGGTCCCCGCCGTGCCCCCGTCCCCCCCGCCTCGCGCCCTGAGCGACGCCGACCTGCGCTCCTACCTGGGCCCGGGGGGGCGGCTGCTGCGGCCCCACGACCTGCGGCTGCACGTCTTCCATGGGGGCGTCGAGCCCGGCCTGCGCAAGGTGAGACACCTGAGACCCCTGAGACCCCCCCTGACACCCCTGAGACCCCCTGACCTGTCCCTGACCTGCGGCTGCACATCTTCCATGGGGGTGTCGAGCCCGGCCTGCGCAAGGTGAGACCACTGAGACCCCCTGAGCCATCCCTGATCCCCCTGACCTGTCCCTGACCCCCTGACCTGTCCCTGACTCCCCTGACCTGCGGCTGCATCGTCCTCTCCACGGGGTGTCGAGCCTGGCCTGCGCAAGGTGAGACCCCTGAGACCCCCTGACCTGTCCCTGACCCCCCCTGACCTGCGGCTGCATGTCTTCCATGGGGGTGTCGAGCCCGGCCTGCGCAGGGTGAGACCCCCTGACGCCCCCTGACCTGTCCCTGACCCCCCCTGACCTGCGGCTGCATGTCTTCCATGGGGTGTCGAGCCCGCCTGCGCAGGGTGAGACCCCTGACGCCCCTGACCTGTCCCTGACCCCCCGACCTGCGGCTGCACGTCTTCCATGGGGGTGTCGAGCCCGGCCTGCGCAAGGTGAGACCCCTGAGACCCCCTGAGCCATCCCTGAGACCCCTCTGAGACCCCCCGACCTGTCCCTGACCCCCCTGACCTGTCCCTGACCTGTCCCTGACCTGCGGCTGCACGTCTTCCACGGCGGCGCCGAGCCCGGCCTGTGCAAGGTGGGACCCCCTGACCTGTCCCTGACCCCCTGACCTGTCCCTGACCCCCTGACCTGTCCCTGATCCCCTGACCTGTCCCTGACCCTCCCTGACCTGTCTTTGATCCCCCTGACCTGTCCCTGACCCTCCCTGACCTGTCCCTGACCCCCTGACCCATCCTTGACCCCCCCTGACCTGTCTTTGATCCCCCCTGACCTGTCCCTGATCCCCCCTGACCTGTCCCTGATCCCCCTGACCTGCCCCTGACCCCCCCGACCTGTCCCTGTCCCTGACCTGTCCCTGACCCCCCTGACCTGCGGCTGCACGTCTTCCATGGTGGCGTCGAGCCTGGCCTGCGCAAGGTGAGACCCCCTGATACCCCCTGAGACCCCCCCTGACCTGTCCCTGTCCCCCCATGACCCATCCTTGATCCCCCCTGACCTGCACCTGCACGTCTTCCATGGGGGTGTCGAGCCCGGCCTGCACAAGGTGGTACCCCTGAGACCCCTGACCTGTCCTTGATCCCCATGACCCTCTCTGACCCCCTTACTGTTCCCCCCTGGGTGTTGTGGCGTTACCTGCTGAACGTGTTCCCTGGTGCTCCCCTGACCCCCCTGACTCACCTGAGCCCCCCTTACCTGTCCCCTCCAGGTGTTGTGGCGTTACCTGCTGAACGTGTTCCCTGGGGGTCCCCTGACCCTCTCTGACCCCCCTAACTCACCTGAGCTCCCCTTACCTGTCTCTCTGCAGGTGTTGTGGCGTTACCTGGTACCGTGTTCCCTGGTGCTCCCCTGACCCCCCTGACTCACCTGACCCCCCTGACCTTTCCCTGTCCCTTCCAGGTGTTGTGGCGTTACCTGCTGACCGTGTTCCCTGATGAATCCCACTGACCCTTACCTGTCTCTCTGCAGGTGGTGTGGCGTTACCTGCTGAACGTGTTCCCTGGTGCTCCCCTAACCCTTACCTGTCTCTCTGCAGGTGGTGTGGCGTTACCTGCTGAACGTGTTCCCTGGTGCTCCCCTGACCCATACCTGTCTCTCTGCAGGTGGTGTGGCGTTACCTGCTGAACGTGTTCCCTGATGAATCCCACTGACCCATACCTGTCTCTCTGCAGGTGGTGTGGCGTTACCTGCTGAACGTGTTCCCTGGTGCTCCCCTAACCCATACCTGTCTCTCCGCAGGTGGTGTGGCGTTACCTGCTGAACGTGTTCCCTGGTGCTCCCCTAACCTGTACCTGTCTCTCCGCAGGTGGTGTGGCGTTACCTGCTGAACGTGTTCCCTGATGACTCACCTGAGCCCCCTACCTGTCTCTCCTCCCCAGGTGGTGTGGCGTTACCTGCTGAACGTGTTCCCTGGTGCTCCCCTGACCCCTCTAACCCATACCTGTCTCTCCGCAGGTGGTGTGGCGTTACCTGCTGAACGTGTTCCCTGATGACTCCCCTGACCCATACCTGTCTCTCCCCCCCAGGTGGTGTGGCGTTACCTGCTGAACGTGTTCCCTGGTGCTCCCCTGACCCCCCTGACTCACCTGACCCCCCTTACCTGTCCCCTGCAGGTGTTGTGGCGTTACCTGCTGAACGTGTTCCCTGATGATTCCCCTGACCCCCCTGACTCACCTGACCCCCCATACCTGTCTCTCTTCCCCAGGTGTTGTGGCGTTACCTGCTGAACGTGTTCCCTGGTGCTCCCCTAACCTGTACCTGTCTCTTTTCCCCAGGTGGTGTGGCGTTACCTGCTGAACGTGTTCTCTGATGATTCCCCTGACCCCCCGTACCTGTCTCTCCGCAGGTGGTGTGGCGTTACCTGCTGAATGTGTTCCCTGGTGCTCCCCTAACCTGTACCTGTCCCTCCCCAGGTGGTGTGGCGTTACCTGCTGAACGTGTTCCCTGATGACTCCCCTGACCCATACCTGTCTCTCCCCCCCAGGTGGTGTGGCGTTACCTGCTGAACGTGTTCCCTGGTGCTCCCCTGGCTCCCTGACCCTTACCTGTCTCTCCCCCCCAGGTGGTGTGGCGTTACCTGCTGAACGTGTTCCCTGGTGCTCCCCTAACCTGTACCTGTCTCTGCTCCCCAGGTGGTGTGGCGTTACCTGCTGAACGTGTTCCCTGGTGCTCCCCTGACCCCCCTGACCCCCCTGACTCACCTGAGCCCCCCTTACCTGTTCCCCTCCAGGTGTTGTGGCGTTACCTGCTGAACGTGTTCCCTGGTGCTCCCCTGACCCATACCTGTCTCTCCGCAGGTGTTGTGGCGTTACCTGCTGAACGTGTTCCCTGGTGCTCCCCTGACCCCTCTAACCCATACCTGTCTCTCTGCAGGTGGTGTGGCGTTACCTGCTGAACGTGTTCCCTGATGAATCCCACTGACCCTTACCTGTCTCTCCGCAGGTGGTGTGGCGTTACCTGCTGAATGTGTTCCCTGGTGCTCCCCTAACCCTTACCTGTCTCTCTGCAGGTGTTGTGGCGTTACCTGCTGAACGTGTTCCCTGATGACTCCCCTGACCCATACCTGTCTCTCCCCCCCAGGTGGTGTGGCGTTACCTGCTGAACGTGTTCCCGGCGGGGCTGTCGGGCCAGGAGCGGCTGTGCCACCTGCGCGCCAAGGCTGCCGAGTACGCGGGGCTGCGCTCGGCCCTGCTCGCCCGCGCGGCGCCCGCCGAGCTGGCGCAGGTGTGCGCGGCCGTGCGCAAGGACGTGGTGCGCACCGACCGCGCCCACCCCTACTTCGGGGGGCCCGAGGAGGGGCACCCCCACCTGCGGGCGCTGCAGGAGCTGCTCACCACCTTCGCCCTGGCGCACCCGCGCCTCTCCTACTGCCAGGGCATGTCGGACGTGGCGGCGCCGCTGCTGGCCGTGCTGGACGACGAGGCCCAGGCCTACCTGTGCTTCTGCGCCCTCATGCGCCGCCTGGGCCCGCGCTTCCGCCCCGGCGGCCGCGGCCTGGCCGGCGCCTTCGCCCACCTGCGCCGCCTCCTGCGCCGCGCCGACCCCCCGTTCTGGGCCTTCCTGGCGGCGCGGGGGGCCCACGACCTGCTCTTCTGCTACCGCTGGCTGCTGCTCGAGCTCAAGCGCGAGTTCGCCTTCGAGGACGCGCTGCGGGTGCTCGAGGTCACCTGGAGCTCGCTGCCCCCCGCCCCGCCGCCGCCCCGAGGGTCCCGCTCCTGGGGCCCCGCTGTGCCCGCCGGGCACGCCGAGCCCTCCGCGAGCGCCGGGGGCTGCGGCCCAGACCGCCCCGGCGGCGCCGGCGGCGATGCCAGAGCGGGAGGAGTGGGGAGAGGGACGGGGCGGGGAGGGAGGGGAGGGGAGGGAGGGAGGAGGGGAGGGCAGGGCGGTTGTTGGGGGGTCAGCGGGGGCTGAGAGTGCTGGTGGTGGCACTGGCGGTACCAGGGACGTCCCCGAGGGTCCCAAGAGCTCCAGTGATGTCCCCAGGGGTCCCAAGGACATCCAGGAGGGTCCCGAGAGCTCCAGTGATGTCCTTGAGAGTCCCAAGAACATCCAGGGGGTCCCAAGAGCCCTGGTGGCAGCCCCGAGGGCCCCAAGGACATCCAGGAGGGTCCCAAGAGCTCCAGTGATGTCCCCAGGGTCCCAAGGACATCCAGAAGGATCTCAAAAGCTCCAGCGATGTCCAGGGGGATCCCAAGAGCTCAAGTGACATCCCTGAGGGTCCCAAGGACATCCAAGAGGGTCCCAAGAGCTCTGGTGACAGCCCTGAAGGTCCCAAGAGCTTCGGTGACGTCCAAGATGGTTGCAGAGCCCCCACAGATGTCCCTGAGGGTCCCAAGGATGTCCAGGAGGGTCCCAAGAGCTCCAGGAACATCCCAGAGGCTCCCAAGAGTTCCAGGCACTCCCAGGAGCGTCCCAAGGGCTCCAGAAACATCCCCAAGGGTTCCCGGAGCTCCAGGAATGTCCCCAAGCGTTCCAAGAGCCCCAAGGACCCCCATGGCCCCAAGGACACGACTCGGGGTCCTGGTGGCCCCAGGAAGGTCGAGGAAGGCACCGACGCCCTCGAGATCGACCAACAGCCCAAATTCTCAGGGGGGAGTGGGGAAGAACCCGGAGAGGGACGTGGTGACTTCAGAGAGGGACGTGGTGACCTCAGAGAAGGACGTGGTGACCCCAGGAAGAGACACAAAGACTCCAGAGAGGGACACGATGACCTCGGGCAACGTGATGACCCCAAAGAGGGACTCAGTGACCCCAAAGATGGACACGGCCCCAGAGAGGGACACAACGACCCCAGAGAGGGACACGACGATCCCAGATGTGGACATGACCCCAGAGAGGGACACAACGACCCCAGAGAGGGACACGACGATCCCAGATGTGGACATGACCCCAGAGAGGGACACGACGATCCCAGATGTGGACATGACCCCAGAGAGGGACACGGTGACCCCAGAGAGCGACACAGCCCCGGAGAGGGACACGGTGGCTTTAAAGAGGGACACGATGACCTCGGACAACGTGACGGCCCCGGGAAGAGACACGATGACCCCAAAGATGGACGTGGGCACGGTGACCCCAAACATGGACACAGTGACCCCAGAGAAGGATACAGTGACCCCAGAGTTGGACATGACCCCAGAGAGGACCGTGGTGACCCCAGAGAAGGACACAGCGACCCCAGAGAAGGACACGACCCCAGAGAGGACCGTGGTGACCCCATAGAAGGACACAACCACCCCAAAGTTGGACACAGCCCCAGAGAGGACCGTGGTGACCCCATAGAGGGACACAACCACCCCAAAGTTGGACACGACCCCCGAGAGGGACACAGCGACCCCAAAGTTGACCACGACCCCAGAGAGGACCGCGGTGACCCCAGAGAAGGACATGACCCCAGAGAGGACCGTGGTGACCCCATAGAGGGACACAACCACCCCAAAGTCGGACACAGCCCCAGAGAGGGACACAGTGACCCCAGAGAGGGACACAATGACCCCAAAGTTGACACACGACCCCAGAGAGGACCGCGGTGACCCCCAAGAGGAAGGCGACGACCCTGCAGAGCTGCCCGACGACCCCGACGCCCGCCCCGACCCCACGGCCGAAGACCCCTGGGGCGGCCGCTGGGCCTGGGAGGACTCGGATTCCTCCTCGTCCTCCTCCTCCTCCTCGTGCTCGTCGTCGTCGTCGTCGGACGAGGAGCTGGGGGTGGAGGACGACGGGGCGCCGCTGCCGCCGCCGGAGGAGCTGGGCCAGGGCAACCCCTTCCTGCTGTTCGTGTGCCTGGCCATGCTGCTGGAGCAGCGCGACGCCGTCATGGCGCGCGCCGGCGACTACAACGAGGTGGCCATGCACTTCGACCGCCTCGTGCGCCGCCACCACCTGCCCCGCGTGCTGCGCCGCGCCAAGGGGCTCTTCGCCAGCTACCTCGAGGGCTGGGGAGGCGCCCCGGCCCCCGCGGTGCCGCCGCCGCCGCCGTAACGGGGAGCGCCGAGAGTGAGCCCCGAGGGCACCACGGGGAGATTGAGGGCACCACGGGGAGGTCAAGGTCATCATGAGGAGCCCGAGGATGCCACGGGGAAGTCAAAGTCACCATGGGGAGCCCGAGGACGCCACGGGGAAGTCAAAGTCATCATGAGGAGCCCCAGGATGCCATGGGGAGGTCAAGGTCATCATGAGGAGCCCGAGGATGCCACGGGGAAGTCAAAGTCACCACAGGGAGCCCAAGGACACCACAGGGAGCCCGAGGATGCCCTGGGGAGGTCAAGGTCATCATGAGGAGCCCGAGGATGCCACGGGGAGCCCGAGGATGCTACGGGGGAGTCAAAGTCACCACAGGGAGCCCGAGGATGCCACGGGGAAGTCAAAGTCACCACAGGGAGCCCAAGGACACCACGGGGAGCCCGAGGATGCCACGGGGAAGTCAGAGTCACCACGGGGAGCCCAGGGACACCACGGGGAGGTCAAGGTCATCATGAGGAGCCCAAGGATGCCACGGGGAAGTCAAAGTCACCACAGGGAGCCCAAGGACACCATGGGGAGCCCGAGGATGCCACGGGGAGGTCAAGGTCATCATGAGGAGCCCGAGGATGCCACGGGGAGGTCAAGGTCATCATGAGGAGCCTGAGGATGCCACGGGGAGGTCAAGGTCATCAGGAGGAGCCCAAGGACACCATGGGGAGGTCAAGGTCATCATGAGGAGCCCGAGGATGCCATGGGGAGGTCAAGGTCATCATGAGGAGCCTGAGGACACCATGAGGAGGTCACGGTCATCAGGAGGAGCCCGAGGATGCCACGAGGAGGTCAAGGTCACCACAAGGAGCTCGAGGTCATCATGAGGAGGTCAAGGTCATCAGGAGGAACCCGAGGATACCATGGGGAGGTCAAGGTCATCATGAGGAGCCCAAGGATGCCACGGGGAAGTCAAGGTCATCAGGAGAAGCCCAAGGACACCAGGGGGAGGTCAAGGTCATCAGGAGGAGCCCAAGGACACCAGGAGGAACTCAAGGTCACCACAAGGAGCTCGAGGTCATCATGAGGAGCCCAAGGACACCACGAGGAACTTGGGGACACCACGGGGAGGTCAAGGTCATCACGAGGAGCTCGAGGTCTTCACGAGGAGCTCGAGGTTGTTGTGAGGAGCTCCAGGTCATCACGAGGAGCTCGAAGTCATTGTGAGGAGCTCGAGGCCACCAGAAAGAACTGAAGGTCGCCGTGGGGAGCTCGAGGGCGCCACAGGGAGGTCAAGGTCATCGTGGGGAGATCGAGGTCATCGTGGGGAGCTCGAGGCCACCACGGGGAGGTTAAGGTCGTCATGAGGAGCCCAAGGACACCACAGGGAACTCAAGGACATTGGGAGGAGCTCGAGGCCACCATGGAGAAGATTATTGTGAGGGGATCAAGGACACCACAGGGAGCTCAAGGTCATCATGAGGGGCCCGAGGCCACCAAAGGAAGGTTAAGGTCACCATGAGGAGCTCGAGGTCATCGTGAGGAGCTCGAGGTCATCGTGAGGGGGTCAAGGTCATCATGAGGAGCTCGAGGGTCTGCAGGACGATGGAGACCCAAGGTCATCTTCAGGGGACCCCTCAGTCACTGTGGGGTCTGTAGGACAAGGTGGAGACCCCCAAAAACATCTCCAGGGGACCCCGAGGTCCTTGTGGGGTCTGTAGGGCAAAATGGAGACCCCCAAAAACATCTCCAGGGGACCCCGAGGTCCTTGTAGGGTCTGTAGGACAAGGTGGAGACCCCCTAAAACATCTCCAGGGGACCCCTCAGTCACTGTGGGGTCTGTAGGACAAGGTGGAGACCCCCAAAAACATCTCCAGGGGACCCTGAGGTCCTTGTGGGGTCTGTAGGACAAAATGGAGACCCCCAAAAACATCTCCAGGGGACCCGAGGTCCTTGTGGGGTCTGTAGGACAAAATGGAGACCCCCTAAAGCATCTCCAGGGGACCCCGAGGTCCTTGTGGGGTCTGTAGGACAAGGTGGAGACCCCCTAAAACATCTCCAGGGGACCCCGAGGCCACCACAGGGACCCCAAAGACCCCCCGTGGGGACATAGGGGGGGTTCTCTTTGGGGACACCGAGGCCACCCTGGGGACCCCCCTGGATCTTTGGGGGACACGGGGGGGGTCCCAGGGGTCACCTTGGGGTCACCAGGGACCCTCAAAACCCCCCTCAGGGACCCCCAGACCCCCCTCAGGGACCCTCAAAACCCCCTCAGGGACCCCCAGACCCCCCTGGGACTCCCTGGGGACCTCCAGAGCCCCCAGGGACCCCAAAATTCCCCAGGACCCCCAAACCCCCTTCAGGGACCCCCCAGAGCCCTCCCAGTCTGGCCCAGTTCAGCCCAGTGCCTCCCCCCCTGGGTTCTCCATTACTGTGGGACATCCCAGTATGGACCAGTATGAACCAGTACAGTGTCCTGGCTGGGATCTCCTGGATCAGCATTGCCTTGGGCTGCACCAGTACAGACCAGTATACACCAGTATGGAGCTGGAAGGAGCCAGGGGCCCAACTGGGAGCCCCATGTGTGCCTTGGGTCAGACCAGTATGAACCAGTATGAACCAGTACAGCATCCTGGCTGGGATCTCCTGGATCTTCGTTGCCTTGGGCTGCACCAGTACACGACCAGTATGGACCAGTACAACCAGTACAGCAGCCAAACTGGGAGCTCTTCACCCGCATGGCCTTGCATTCTCTGGACCAGTATGGACCAGTATGAACCAGTATAGACCAGTACAGCGCCTTGCCCGGGAACTCTTCACCTGCATGGCCTTCTGTCCTCCCAGTATGGACCAGTATAAACCAGTACAGCGTCTTGCCTGGGATGTCTTCACCCACGTGGCCTTGTGTGCTCCCAGTATGGACCAGTATAGACCAGTATAGCATCTCACCCAGGAACTCTTCACCTGCATGGCCTTCTGTCCTCCCAGTATGGACCAGTATGGACCAGTATAAACCAGTACAGCGTCTGTGCCAGGATCCCTTCACCCATGTGGCCTTGTGTGCTCCCAGTACAGACCAGTATAGACCAGTATGGACCAGTATGGACGGGTAGGGTGCCCTGAGTGGGACGCTGATGCACCTTCGGGTTCTCCCAGTATGGACCAGTACAGACCAGTTCCTGCCCCCCTCCACCCCCCCCTTATTTATTGGCCCTTCCTGGGGATGGGGGAGGGGCCCAGGGGGGTCTTGGGTGGGTTTGGGGGGTCCCAGTTGGATTTTGAGGGTCCCAGTTGGATTTGGGGGTCCCAGTTGGAGTTTAGGGGATCCCAGTTGGATTTGGGGGTCCCAGTTGGGTTTGGGAGGTCCCAGTTGGATCTGGGGGTCCCAGTTGGGTCTGAGGGTCCCAGTTGGGTCTGGGGGTCCCAGTTGGGTTTGGAGGGTCCCAGTTGGGTTTGGGGGTCCCAGTTGGGTCTGGGGGTCCCAGTTGGTTTGGAGGAGTTCCAGTTGGGTCTGGGGGTCCCAGTTGGTTTGGAGGAGTCCCAGTTGGGTTTGGGGGTCCCAGCTGGGTTTGGGGGTCCCAGTTGGTTTGGAGGGGTCCCAGTTGGGTTTGGAGGGTCCCAGTTGAATCTGGGGAGTCCCAGTTGGGTTTGGAGGGTCCCAGTTGAATCTGGGGGTCCCAGCTGTGTCAGGGGGTCCCAGTTGGGTTAGGGGTCCCAGCGTGTCGGGGTCCCAGTTGGGTTTGGGCAGCTGTGTCAGGGGGTCCCAGGTGGGTTTGGGGGTCCCAGCTGTGTCAAGGGGGTCCCAGGTGGGTCTGGGGTCCCAGGGGTGTCTGGGGTCCAGGGGTCCCAGGTGGCTTTGGGGGTCCCAGATGTGTCCTGGGGATTTCGGGTCTCAGGGGTCCCAGTTGGCTGGGAGTCAGGGGTCCCAGGTGGTTTTAGGGTCCCAGGGTGTTTAGGGGTCTGGGGGTCCCAGGTGGTTTGGGGGTCCCAGCTGTGTCCTGGGGGGAGTCTCACAGGTCTCAGGGGTCCCAGGTGGCTTTGGGAGTCCCAGCTGTGTCAGGGGATCCAGTTGGGTTTTAGGTGGTCCCAGGTGGTTTGGGGGTTCTGGGGGTCCCAGGTGGTTTAGGGGGTTCTGGGGGTCCCAGGTGGTTTTGGGGGGTCCTGGGGGGGTCCCTGAGGTGCCGAAAACGCGAATAAACCCGATGGTCGTGACTGGTCTGGTCCCAGTTTGGACTGGGAATGAGTGAGGGGATCCCAGTATGGACTGGGAAGGAGCTGGAGGAGTCCCAGTTTGGACTGGGAAGGGACTGGGAATGGGTGGGGGGTCCCAGTATGGACTGGGAAGGGGCTGGGGGGTTCCCAGTCTGAACTGGGGAGCTCCCAGTCTGGACTGGGATGGGGTTGCTGTTCCCAGTCTGAACTGGGGAGCTCCCAGTCTGGACTGGGCGGGGCTGGGAAGGGGGAGGGGCTGGGCGGGGCCAGACTGGGATTTTCCCAGTGTTCCCAGTTCCCTCCCAGTGCTGCCGGTGTTCGCTGAGGCTGCTCCCAGTGTGCCCAGTTCCCCTCCCAGTCCCTCCCAGTGTCCCCAGTTCCCCTCCCAGTGCGCCCAGTTCCCTCCCAGTCCCTCCCAGTGCCCCCAGTTCCCTCCCAGTGCCCCCAGTTCCTCCCAGTCCCTCCCAGCACCCCAGGCCCCTCCCAGTCTCCCCAGTTCCTCTTCTCAGTCCC